GTGGTTAGAGCGCAGTGTTCATAACACCAAGGTTGCCAGTTCGATCCCCACATGGGCCACTGAGCCCTGCCCTCCACAACTAGAGTGAAACAACTACTTGACTTGGAGCTGATGGGTCCTGGAAAAAACATACTGTTCCCCAATAAAAATTTAAAAAGGATGATACTGATGATGGTAGATGATGAGCACTATGTGCCACACACTGAACTCAGGCCTTTACATTTGTCTCACGTCTCCCTCATACAACAATTCTTGTACAGATGAAATTGAGGGATCGGGGTAATGTGCCTAAAATCAGACAGCAAATGGTGGAGCCCAGAAACCATTTGTATCCTTTTCTGAGCCAAGGATCTCTTTACATTTCTTCCTATTATTCTAGAAGGTGACTCCATAGGGGCTTGGTCTAATCCTTTAGGAAAAGAAGCAAAGTCTCGATATGCAGGGCATTTTATTAGTATTGAGTTTGGAAAAATAAGAGCTAACAGCCTCCATGGAGCTGGGCAGGGGGCAGAATGACAGATGGGGATGGAGGCTGTAGTCGCTGGACAGGTATAGAAAAGGCTGAGTGAGAGCTGAGGACTCGGTACTTCGAGGAAAGAAATAGTCAGGTGTCTAAAGGTGTTTGTGGCAAGTAGCCTGTGTTTGTGGCCTGCTTGAATGACCAGCCTGATAGCTTCGGTGTGCTCCCTTCCCACTCCACCCAAGTTAGGGCACCTACAGGCCCAAACCTCTTGGAGGCAACTTTGGCTCATGAGAATCTGTTTAGTCCAAAGTAGAACTAACTAGCTTTGTGATTCTTCTACTACTGTTAAGCAGCAAGCCATCTCCTGGGCAACCTTTTCTCTTGAGCACCATCTTCCTATAAATGGCTCGGGCACATGACAGTGTCGATGGGTGTTTTTATCACTTGGCTATATGCCTGTGATGTGAGAAGGCGGTGGCATTTCTGCCATGTTGTTTTCATCTTCACACATTGGGGGATGGTCACATTCAACTTTTTACAACATTCAGGAGGACCATCCGCTCTCATAGCCTACCAAATTCCTAAGGTTTGCATAGGTCTGTGAGTGGGTGAGAGGAGAGAGGCACATTTTAGTCTCACGAGTCTTGCAGCCAAGGGGAGGAGGCCAAGTATGGGTGTTCATGTGCAAATAATTGCCCTGCGCCCAGAGCTCAAATACAGAATCCATCATTGCCTGTCAAAAACAAGGCAACTCAAGAAACCAAACAACAAATCCCCTCCAAAAAACCAGGATGCCTACCAATCCTGTTACTGGGAGTCATTCATACTCAAAGCTGATGCCCATTCACTTATTGCACAAGACTTTGCTGATCATGTGTCAAGTGCATGAGACTCTGAGGCATCAAGAGTCAAAAGCCTTAACTGACTCATGCGAGGGCCTCGAGCAAATCACCCTGTGAGTTTCGAAATCCGGGACACAGGAAAAATGATTTGGTTGTTGTTCTTGTTCTTCTTTTTTAATATTGTCCTCACCTAAGTCTCCTACTGTTAAACTCCATCAGATGAAAGAAGTTGGGAAGAAGGCAAGATCAATGGGACCACAGTCCTGGCCCACCGAGTATCCTTTATTCTTCTTTCCAAAGCTGTGTACTGCCTCAGAGAGGAAAAAGATAGAAAAAAATTCTGGCAGCTTCATCCTGCCACATTCTTAAAAGGTCACTGGGCAGGACTGTAAAAAAGGAAAACTAAAAAAGTGGAGAGTGGTTTAACGAACTAATTCTTCTCTTTCCCTTCAACTCAAAGCAAATACATTTGTGTTTCCAGAGGGAGTATATCTTTCCTTGGTCATCAGGCTTGTGAAGCTGATCCCCATCTGAAAGGGGGAGGTAGAAGGGGCTGTTTGTACGTAACAGCAGTGGTCCAGGTTCTCACACCTTCACTAGGGCACCGACAAATGCAATCGACAACTCTGGGACCGGGTACACCAAAACAAGCAGCGTTAATCCAGGTGATTTTATTATTTATTTATTTATTTAAATTTTTATTGGGGAATTGGGGGATGGGAACAGCCCTGGGGAATTGGGGAAGGGGAATAGACAAGTTGCTGTCCTTTTGTTCTTCAGTCTAGCTGTGGAGCACGTTGCTTCACTGGCCCAAGCTGGCACCATCATTGCGCTCTTCCTGGGCGAGGCAGATCAGTCGCCGGCTTCTGGACGGCCGCTCATGGAGGCTGCTGGCTACACATGGTAGCCCATGGCAACCCACTGCAGCAGGGGCTGAAGCCTACAGCCATGGCCAGCAACTCATTGCAGCCCAGTTCCAGGTTGAGCTGTTGTTCAGCATCTTAGCTGTAGAGGGCAGTGTCACTGGCCCTCATATGTGGGATCTGAACCGGGGCCCTCTGGCGTCCCAAGCCAGCTCTTAACCAATGCGCCACTCTGCCGGCCCCAGGTGATTTTATTTTAAAATGTTGAACATCCAGTTCCTTCCTCGTTACTGTCCAGTCAGCAAAATGAGTTGGTGAAAACTGGCTATTTAACCTCCTAGCTTAAAAGCTGCCAACAGCTTCCTGTCATAGCACCTGGAATGACAGACTTACTCTTTTCTCTGGCCTCCAAGGCCATGGCTGGTCTGGTCCAGCCTGTTTCCCTGACTCATCTCATCCCTCTGCTGTGTGTGCCAGCCCTCACCAACCTTTTGTTTCTCAAACATGTGAGTGTACACATCTGAGTGCCTTTGCTGGGATGCTCTTCCCCTGTGTGGCAGAGGCCTCCAGCAATGGCATTGTAGCCAGGCAGTGCTAGACTACATTTCCCAGCATCCTTGGCAATAAGCACAGCTCAAAACTCATCTGGGTGCCTACTAGGCACCAGGCACAGCTCTAGGCACGGGAGATACAACAATGAAAAGGACAGACATAAATCCCTACCCTCACGGAGTTTACATTCTAATGGGGGAGGAAGATATCAATAGATAAGGTTCAGAAATAAAATGCAGAGTAAGTTAGGCAGTGGTCAGTGCTAAGGAGAAAAATTAAGAAGTGACATAGGAAAGGTGACTTCAATTTTAGATCAAGTAGCCAGGGAAGGCCTTCCTGAGGTGTTATTTGAGTAAAGCCCCAAAGCAAAGGAGAGAAAAAGCCATGAAGGTATCTGGGGAGAGCATTCCAGACTGAAAAAACAACAAAGGCCCCGAGGTGGGAGAGAGTGGAGAGTTCAAGGAATATGGTCAGGATGGCTTAGAGCTGAGTGATGGAAGGGGTCGCAGGGGTGAAGGCAGGGAGGAGGCATTACAAGGACTTTGGCTTTTCCTCCAAGGGAGATGGGGACCCACTGAAGGGCTTTAAGGGGAGGTGTGATCTGCTTTAACAGAATTATGCTGGCAGTTGTGCTAAAAACAGAATGTAGGCAGACAAAAGGCAGGAGCAGAGACACCTACTGCCATAACCTGAGATGATGTGATGGTGCCTGGGACCGGGGTTCTAAAAATGGTGTCTCAAATACATTTTGAAGTGAAGCCAACAAGATTCAGGGTAGACCAGATGCAGGTTGTGAAAGTAGTTGTTTGAGAGGCAGCAACTGAGCTGCCGTTGATTCAGGGTAGACCAGAAGCAGGTTGTGAAAGTAGTTGTTTGAGAGGCAGGAACTGAGCTGCCGTTTTCTCAGGGGGAAGGAAGGCTGAGAGCAGGTTGGGGGAGGAGGGGTGGAGTTCCCGCTCAGGGCACTTCAATTTCAGGTATCTGAAGAATAGGAAAAATGTTGGCTTTCGTAGCTTTGCAGAAGGAACCAAGCCATCCTAGCTCTAATTCGTTTTTAGGACAAAATCCAGATAAAGGTTGGTATAGTTGGTTTAATCCCATTAGCACACGGATAGCTTTGAACAGGGAAGCAGTTATCAGGTGATATTATAATTTAGCTCACTTATGTAATTTCGACTGCAGTTCTTCTGTCCCTGCGCCAACACGTACATAAAGTAGGAGCAGATGCTCATCTCCAGTTCAGTTTGCCAGACCATAAAGAGCCACAGTCGGAGACCAGAGGAGGGAACAGGGCATCACAGAGGATTCTGGGCTGAGGCCAGTTGAGTGCCCTGCTGGGAAACGGGGCCCTCTCCTTGGGGGAGAGAGGCTGTGTGGTCTGTGTGAGGTGAAATCAAAGGCCTCCCAGCTGACCACCACACTGTACTCATCTTGGCACACAAGCAGATTAGACCTCACAGCCTCCCCTGCGGTTTGGTATGGTCACGTGACTGACTTCCAGCCAGTGAAACGTGGGCAGAGAAGTGATGTACACCACTCCCAGGCCTGGTACAAAAACTTCCATGACAACCCTCATCCTTTTTTCCTGGTATGTCAGCTGGATGCGGATGTTCAAAGTAATCTTGGAAGCCACATGTGAAGGGGGCAGGGACCTGCTGGCCTAGGACCCTTAATGACTGACCGCATGGGGCAGAGCCCTCCCTTCCCATCAGACTGTTAGAAAACTGCTCAACTTCTGGAAATTCCATTTGGCTTTCTCAGATCTCTAATGTGATACAATGAATACCGCTAGCTAACATCTAATGAGCACTTACTATGGGCCAGTACTTTTCTAAAGACTATACATGTATTAACTAGTTTAATCCCTATAACCCCAATAGTCCCTATTTTACAGGAAACTGAGGCACAGAAAGGTTAGGCAACTTACCCAAAGTCACATAGCTAGCAAGTGGCCAAGTTGGCATTCACACCCACGCAGCCTGGCTCTAGAGACTAGAGTGAACCACAATACCCTGTTGCCAGTGTTATTTCTATTACCCAATATCAACTGTTGTTCCAAAGACAAAACATACATCTTTACAGCAGCAGATAACGGTCCTCCTGCAATGCTTATTTGGAAGTTACTTTAATGGTTTGGAGGTACCCATTTCTTCTGTGGTTCAGGCACACGGCCACATGTCACAGAGCCTGGGTATAAGTTATTTAAAGGGGCAGGAAGACAAAGACAAGGACAAAAGTTAATTAACCATTTCAATGTAAAAGAAATTGATCAAACAAGAGTCTTATGATAAAAACTTTATTGTCTTAAATATCAAATGTTTTACACATCACTTTTCTTCAGAAAGTTCCTATTAAAAAAAGAAAAATAAAATAAAGTGTTTTGATTATTTAGGGCTGACTTACATTTCATTATGTGACAACAACTCAAACCCAAATGCATCCAGTTCACTCAGCTGCAGACAGGTCCTATGTCCAGCCCCTAAACCAATGGCACAATGCAACCAACTTTGGGATTCCTGAGTTTGGTTCCCTTAAGTTCTCAGAGTTTTCCAACTCTCAAAACCAAAGCATTATGGGAGGGACTGAGCTACTGGCAATCCTATTTTGCCAATCAGCCCAGTTCTTGTTAAGATGCAGTAGTCTCAAAGCATAAAGTCAGGAAGGCATACATCAGCAATTGCAAGAACAAATAAGGGGGAAAAGAGGGAGTTTCTATTTGCTAAGATGTGCCAAACATGGCTACAAAACTGGTAAACAAACCTTACTTGAGTGCAAAGGCCATTGGCCCAATTTGCCATGAAGATGAGATTTTGCATTAAATGAGCAAATCAGTTTTCATCATAGGTGCACAGTGAAAAAAGCCAATGCAATCAGTATATTGAATTGCTCTGAATGTATCACCAGAATTATTTCAAAAGGATGATTAGGAGAACAGAGAATGGAAATACAGTCATTCAGAGGGAAAAGTCTCAGATGGTGACATAAACTCAAGAAAGCTACAGGGCCTTGAGGAAAGGAAAAAGAAGTCTGGTCAGCATCAGGTAATCTCAGACCAAAGGAATCTGGAAATAAACCAATCTGACCATCTGGTAGGAAATTAATAGAGGTCTGCCTTTCTTTACGCCACAGATGCATTCATTCACGGCTGTGTGTAAAACAAACTCCTGATGAACATCATTTCCCATCAGACACGTAGTTTCCCAGGAAAAAATATCCCAGCATGCCCTTTCCCCAAGTCAGCTAATGAAAACCTTATGGTACATATTGAAAGAAATTCAGTTCTGTAAGTATCTAATTTCGTATTCCACGCCCCCATTCCCGGTCTTCCATAGTTTGCTTAGCTTTTTAAAGAAATATTCTCTAACTCCTACATCCTTCAACCATTCCCTCTGTAGGTTTCATTCCACGAGATTGTGCCCTAAAACATCAGCTATATCCTTTGACCCTACAGCCCCAGAGGGTCCGGATTCCCAATCACCAATACATAACTGATAAGCCTTGAGCTTTCTCGTTGTGAATCTTGTGAGTCATCCGTAGGTAAGGTCCAGGGTTCTCCCTGTATGCCTCAGGATTACAACATTAATGATGACACTTTAAATGTCCTTTTGAGGGAGCTGTCCTATTGAAAAGATTTGAGATGGCCTTGAATCCTCTTGTAAATTCTGCCCACCATCCAGTCCCAGACCCTCGCTTGTTCCATTTTCTGCTCTAGATTCCCATGTTCACATCTTGCACTCAGCTGCAGAATCCCCTGCTAAGTCCTGTTGGCCAAGATGGTCAGTATTCCAGGGTGGCCATGCTCAACGGGGAAGCGGGGAGGGTGCCAAGCACACTCGTATCTCCACCCTGCATGGAAGGAGGTCCCGATGGAAGGGAAAGCTGCTTCTCCCTGGGGTATATTTAGGATCACCTTCCATTTACTTGCACTTCTACCCTGCTGCCCCCCCACCCATCCACAGAATAAATTGATTTCTGAATACCTTATTTCTTCAAGTATTTCTACCAAATGTTGATTTTTAAAATTGGTTTCTCTGATTCCATTTTGAAAAAAGATTTCATTTTCTAGAGCATTGTAGATTCACACATCTAAATCAATTTTGAGCCTGATTTTCCATCTCCCCTGAATTTGAATCAAATCATTCTAGTATGACTTTTAAAATAAAAGCATGCTAATAGGCAAAAACAGTTCTTGCTCTTGAAGCAAAACTTTGTTTCGTGTCTCCCTACTAGGCTGAGAGTTTTGCGAGGGCAGGCTGCCAGGCTGTTTTGTCACCCTTGTATCCCCAGGGCTCATCAGTACCTGCACACAGGTGATTATGCCTGATGAATGAACCGATGAATTCCTGTTCAGGCTCGGACAGCACAGCCTTCAAGAGTACCGGTGGTTTCCTGTGCAAACAGCTGATTTTCTAGAACTTCTTCCCTTCCTTAACCACCACCATGCTGACAGTACAACAAAGAACATAATAAACATCTAGAAACCATCTTTTTTAGTGCTCCTGATGCAAAAAAAGCCATATTATCACCCTTCTGTCTGTGGAGATCTAATGATTTGATGCAGAATGATTCTGGATGAATAAAGGTGAGCCTTAAGACCATTCCATGCATGCCTCTATCTCCAGGGTGTTTTTACACTTTCCCCCTTGATACTTTCCACATTCATTCCCCACCAAAATTTGATGCCTCTGCTATCTGGAGAAACTAAGGCACAAGAGAAAGTCAAGCATATCAAAGGTTCACCCCCTAAGTTCCTCAGTTTTTTCAATGAACTCCTCCTAGTGACACCTAACAAGGGACCATGAAGGTCTAGAATTTGAGTTACGAGTTTACATTTCCAGTTCTCAAGGACGTCCTTTCAATTTACTTTAAGAATTTACTTTGTTTACTTCTTTCAGAGAAAAAGCTATTTTATGGAACTCCTAACATGAGAGGTTAATGGTCATCTTCTAGGAAGGGAAGCTCTTGATAATGCTTGTTTCTTTCTTGTTCAGCCACAGACTATACACTAAGACACCAAATTCAAAGGAGAAACCTGGCTTTTTGGTAGAGAATAGCAGAATGCATGATCCATGATATCTTATGATATGCTACCAGTGGTAACAAGTTTGAAATATGTAACAGTTCAATTATCCTGTTTACAGCGGGTGGCAAACAGTAGAAAAGGAAATTGGAACGCACCATAACTCTTCTGGCCAGTTATTTGCAAGGCTGTTTTGTTATATACATGGTGGGATAAAAACCACCACAAATGAACAATACATCTGTAGATACGAAAAGTGTTTAAAAAAATGGTTTGCTTTTTAAACTATGTAAAATTAACTGTAGGATATCTGTCAATCACACACGTGTGTGTGTATATATACATATATATATACATACATACACACACACACACACACACATGAGCTGATGGGTAAACCAATTAAATTTTTATGGCTTTTACTAGAGATAGAAGTGCTAAGGGAAGCACAGGCAGATTCCACTTTAACTGGTTCTTATAAAATCAGCAACACAAAGTCTCATGTATTGTTCCAAAGCAAGAGGGAGAAATGCTTTGGGAAAAAAAACCACATGGGGTTTGTCTCCCTTTAGTACCTATGGAGATAAGGAGCTCTAGAAAGTTCTGTAGGCTTCAAGGCAAAAAATAGTTTTAACACATCCCATCTCTCCGCTTCCCTTTGCCAAACAACTGATATCTTTGTATATTTACAGCGGAAGCCCAAACTGTGGGATAAAGGCTATTGGCTGATGTCTGGAGGCCTGAATAGGTACAAACGGAAAGAATTCTTACCAGCTTCAATGGGCAAAATCTAGAGCCTAGATATAGCTGTCTGGTTACCAAGCACATTCTCACACACAGGAACCAACTTCAGGGAAAATGCAGAAGTTATATTTAAAAACCTTCTCCTCTCTTTGGTGAATAAACTGAGAGCACCCTTGGGGGTAAGCGCCAACCAGAGAGCTGTCCAGTGCTGGTTATGGCAAAGGAGCTGTCCAGTGAAGTGGCCCTTTATACTGGCATGCCGCTATCAGCTCTGTTGGCAACGAGTTTCGCGATGATTTTATCTTCTTCTTGGAGAAGTTAATCTCTGATTTCTGCACTTTGAATAAAAACTGACAATGAAGGTTCACTAGTGTCATGTTCCTTAATTCCCTTTGTGCTCTAGAACTGCTGAATTTAAAAATGATTCAAAACCCTAACAATATCAACAGTTTTACTTGATGGACAGGGAATAAGATCTTAAAAATCAACAGCAATTATACATTGAAAAATAAATGATGAAAAGGACAAGGATATTTGGCAAGTGGGTTAAGCTCATTTAAAGTATTCCTAACAAGGACACATGTACAACTAGAGGCCTATTCAGTTTTTTTCCTCCAAATAAATATACATACACATAAAAAAGCTATTGCAATGAAACCTTTTCCGGACTGATATCCCCTACTCCTCCTGGGGCTGATTACCCAATCTCCACCTTGTGAAGTCAGTGGCCGGGCCTCTGAGTGGAGTATGCCACCTGCTCACATAGAAAATCCCACAGCCTATCTGCACACAGGCCTTTTCGGAGGGGTCCACTGTCACTGGTAAGTTCCTCCACCCAACAGTGATCCCACTCCCTGGCCCTAAAGATTTATAAGCTTAGAATAAATTCGCAATCGCCACCCATAAAGCAAATACAGGGGCCCACTGCATTGCCACTAGATTTTGCTTCCATCATAGCACCAGCTACTTAATTACAATCACAGCTCTAAGAGACGGTTGACAGAAATCCTATAAGCAGTTTCCTAGTGCATCTTACATCTTTGGTGTAGGGCAGGCAAAGGGGTCTGCAACGTGTGATTGTCTCAAAGAACGTTTTAAAGACAATCTGGCTAACGTGTTGTTCTGAGCGCCCTCTTGAAAACATTGAACTGCAACTCCCGTCAACCATTTCCTAACTTCAGAGGATCATGATGGATCTATGTGACTTTCCATCACATTACTGAAGTCTCCATCACACACACACACACACACACACACACACACACACACACACACACACACACACACACACACACACACCCCACACCCCCCCGTAGCCAAAAAGAAAGGAGATGAAATAGGGGAGAAATGTCTTTAAGTGCCTCAAATTAAAATCTCAAAAACTCCTGAGATATGAGCCTCCATTTTGATTGTGCTAAATGACTTGAATTTTTATGGAAAAAATAAGCTTTCAGAGTCAGACTTTATAGACAAAATCATGTAACACTACGTTCACAAATCACCCTCTCAAAGGTTATGTTTCAAACACATTGCAAACTGTAACCTGGTATTGGGAATTATCATACTCAAAATTCTTTTCAATAAAACCAAGATTTCAGATTCCTACTAGGTACATAAGAGAGCAGGGTTTTTTTTCCCCCAAGGAAAAAAATTATCTAAAATCTATCCAGTAGGATTATTGCACAGTGGGGCCCACAGGACAATGATTTCCAAGGGCTAGTCCTCATATAAAAAAAGGCCACAATAAATACATCTATATACTATGCCCCACTCTAACTTGACATGGTAAACACAAATATGACGAACCTTGTTTAAAAAAAGAAACTCCTGAGGAAAGAAAGGGATGGAAAACGCTACCAAGGCCACTTAAGTCAAAAACTGCAATTACTATTTCCACTGCCACGAAGGGCACTCACCAAACAGACTGACCATTTCAAGCACCAAGATGAACCCATGTGACAAGGTTCACACCTCAACATGTCACTCAGATCACAGCTCAGACTGAGTTTTAGAACTTCTAATAGAAGGCGAGTTTCAAGGGAAATAAACGGCTGGCAACCAGCCCATTAGCGGAACTTAAGTTCATCATTAGTCATGAAGGATTGAGGTGTGATCGGTGAGATGCTAGCAAACCGAATCTCTAGTAAATTCCAGTGGTTTAGGCCATGATTTTCCACTCAGTTCTTGAAACATCACCAAGACATTTGCAAATGGAATTACAGCGTTTTGTTTTGTTTTTAAATCTGGGTAGCACCATGTTTCCATCTAATGTTAATTCCCCCACAGTATCCCATCCAAGATATTTGGCAATCCACGCAGCAGCCTGTGCGGTACAAAGTAACCCAAGTTTTAAATCCTCCTGACTCATCCCTTTAAAATGTCAAATCCTAACCACATGCATAACAACATACCACTCTAAGAGATATTATTCAATTATTCTTCAGTTCTTCAGTTCGTTATAACAGATGGATCAGGATACACAGAGCACTGGGTGGAATTCCAAACACCAAACCACGTGGTCAGAAGTTTGTAAACTGACAACTGAATCGACAAGCCATACTTGCCTATAGCACAGACGCGGCCTAAGTGTGAAGATGGCTCAGCTCTCGGCTGCACCGGTGGTGGGATTTCTCATGGCTTCTGCTGTTCAAAGCATTCACTCTCATTCTAAAATGGTACATTATACAGAAAACCATCAATTTTATTCCAGAATCCATCATCTTAATGAGAATAAAAAGCTTTTGTATGCACATACTGCCAATACATTTAAAAAGGCCCACAATTTAACAAATAGAAGAGACAGATTCATTAGACAAGAGATCATAAATTACTTTGGCCGAAAAAAATCTTTAAAAAAAATCTGGCTCAACACTCTGCTCGCAGGTTTCTACATATACTGTATTTGTGGTGAGTGTGTGTATATATAGCTTCTTCTTTTTTTTTTTTTAAGGGAATGGAATACGGTCTAGCCCACTTTTCCATGGTTACGTAGGAACTACAATGTTCTTTGCTAGCAACATAAGAAGTGCAAGGTCTGCATTTCCACCAACTTGATGCAAAGCCCCAAGAGCTTCCTGCAAAGTAAAGCCGGCGCGGAGAATCCGGTCAATGTCTGCAGCAGGAAAAATTAATGGTGGAAGAATGGAGGGACTTGGTGATGGACAGCTGGCAGGTGGCTCAAATTCAAGACGTGGCCCTCCTGCTTCGGGACAGACATCATCTCTGGTCTCAGGCCTGTCTGTCACTGGGTTCTGTGTGCCCTGACCCAATTCTTTAACCAACAGGAAATTCGATGACAAGGACTTAGTTTGCTCCGAAGTCTGGTTGAGTGCATCCTCCTCACCTGCTAAAAGTTTGGGTGAAATTTCTACACCTAAGGTGCAGTGTAATTGATTTGACGTTTTGGCAGAGGCTAGAGTGACAGAACTGCTCTTGTTTACTGATTCCCTAGACGTGGGGACACCTTCCTTATCAGTTAACAGGCCATCCCCTGGATCCTTGAAGTTAATACTTTCTACATCTTCTATTCCGGTGCCTGTTGAGGAGTCTGTTAATTTTTCTGTCTTCACTGATACAGATATGGTCTGATGAAAGGAGACTTGTGAACACTGTTCATTCTGGGTAGCTGGAAGATGCTTATTTTGGGTCCATCTTTCAGAAAGGTCCTCAACACCTGTTTGGACTTCAGTTACTGTTTCTGATTGACAGGTAACTTCTTCAGATGTATTTTCTGAAGCTGGTTTACTACTAATGACCAAAAGTTCATGAAGTTCCTTCAAGGCTGCTGTTATGGATGAGCAAGATTCCTCTGTTGACTCCACAGAGGGCTGACAGCCGCCACAGAGACTTAACGAGGGGGAGCAAGTCCCATATTCTTTATTTGTTCCAGACATTTCAGCATCCCTTTCAGAGAGCTGCAAATTCTGAGTGGAAATAGAATTACTCAAAATTTCAGGTGAAGGGATACATCTTGATGTTTCTACTTCCATCAAGGGGTTATCTAAGGCGAGATCAGCTGCACCAATGTTCTTGACGTTGGCATTCTGACCGCCTGCTGAATTAAGCACAGCCACCAGGGACTGTTCAACTACATCTACTTCCATAAGTGTTTCTGAATTTGAGCAGTCGAAGCATCCTGAAGGTAGAATATTTTTCTGTGTATCTGGAAGGTCCACGTTTTGCTGTAGCCTGTCTCCTTTCATTGTAGCTTCCACGTCAACGCTTTTTGGTTGATTCTGTTGCCCTTCTCCGTGAAGTTCAAGGTCCCCTGTGTTATAAAGATGTTCTTGGTCACGTGGAGCATTCTGCTGCACAACCTCATGCCCTCCGTCCCCTGGGTCTTCATGCTGACGGCCATTCGCTTGACTCAGATTCTGCCACTCCGGATGCCAACCCTTTTCACCCAGGGACCTCTGAAGCTCTTGCGTCCTAGTAGTTGTGACAGACAAACTAGCTTCCTGTCTGGTGTGGAGATGAGACTTGAGGCCCTGGGTGCTTCTTTCAGCAGGAGATCTCTCCAGGTTATCTACGACGATGGCTTCTTCGGGTGAATTCTGCAAAGGCATGGCTGGACTCTGGTCTGCTGGAGATGCACGATCAGCAGGTTCCTGTAGAGGAAGATGTTCCTTCTTTTCAGAGGCTATCTGGAATTCAGCCGAAGCCTTGACAGCCTTCACAGCCTTGGGTTCGATGCTGTCTGGGTCACTGGGCTTGATAGAGCAGACGGAAGCAGAGACAGAGTGAGCAAGACGCGCAGGGTTACCAATCTCAGGACTCTGCCCTGGAGGACGGGCGGGATGGCTACATCCATCTGAAGTTGGTAATGATGACATTCCCAGTGAGGTAGTTTCTTTACCGCTTTTCTCTACATGGAACACAAGGGAAAGGAAAAAAGATTAATTAGCAGGTTACAAAGGCCACCACATTATCAGAGGATACAAATCTGAACAGGATAGAACCAAATCAGGTCCTTAAACTTGGGTTTGTTTATATTCATAGACTTATACAAGAGCCATTCCCACCGTGGTGGACAATTTAACATTACAGCATCAAAATAAGAGATAGGCATATTCTTAAGAAAATGTGTGTACTGAAATTCAACATTCTAATTTTTTTTTTTTAAATTGGGAAATTGGGGGAGGAGAACAGTGTTGAGGAATTGGGAAGGGGGACCAGCCAAGCTCTTGTTCTTCAATCTTTGTTGTGGAGGGCACCAGTCGCCATCTGGCTTCCCAACAGCAGCTCGTGGCCTCTAAGCTCAAGGTGCTGTGTTTAATCTTAGTTGCAGGTGGGTGTAGCCACCATCCCATCAACATTCTAATTTAAGTGCTATTAATAAACACCCACATACTGGCTGAGTTAGTGCTCAAGACTGAAGGACATTTATGGGTCTTTATCCTCAGTGAGTTCATAACCTTAGAATAGTTTCGCCAAGTGTGTTCTCTCCACCATGTGCCCTCAAATCACCTGGGGTGTCTGCTAAGCACACAGATTCTGGGGCACCATCCTTGAGGGTAAACCCAGAACCCTGCATTTTCAATAAGCTCCTCAGGTGATTCATAAACACATTACAAATCCTGGAGCTCTGCATGAGAAGGGTTCTTAGGCCAATGTGCGTTTAGTGTTTCAAATGTGAACACTGAGGTTATAAATGAGAAGTCTAAAGCCAGGTGTATCTGGAACGGAGCGAGGATTTTAATGAGAAAGAAGAATGTAATACTCGGGGACCTCCAGAAGACAGAGAAGCAAACACTCTAATTTATTTCTATCTAAATGTCCTGAAAATCATGATAAAATTATGTGAGCGTGACTCAGAGAACAAAAATAAAGCTAAAGATCAAACAGAGTAAATCCCAATCATCATCTTACCAAATAATGAAGCTTTAAGAACCATTATCAGCTGCTTTATATATCACACTAACACAGTATAGCTAAGGAACAATGTTTAAGTGTTTTAAGAGCAGGGGAATGGGGGATGGGGGTACTGTGGGCAGTGGAAGGAGATAGTTCATAACAGTTTTTCGACAGGCAATAATGATTTAGATCCATTGCAATTTACTGACAACTCACACGAGATGGCAGGCTTAAACATCACCTCAGTGTAAACATCACGATGTCATTAAACATCAGTTCCAACTCTCCTTTTGCCACTGATTCAGTTAAAAAGTGACCTCTATGCAATTATGACTTCACAGTCTGATCTATCAGGGCAGATGCTGAACGTTAGCATCCGACGTGGGATGTGATCTTGACTTAAGAAGTCACGGAGCAATGCAGTTACAATTCAAATGGCTCTAACTCATTCTAATCCAACACTGATGAACAGTGTGAGAATATAAGGCACTACGTCAGGAAAGTTACTGACTTCTGGTGAAACAATCTTATAGTTTAGGGGAAAATGGGAAACCAGCATTTATTTCAGTGCAAATTATATCCATTTGAGTCTAAGATAGTTATTAGTTTTTTTTTTTTTTTTTTTTTTTTNGGCTACTCAGCTCGGGCTGACTCGAACCGCTGTTGCTCAGAGCTCAAACTCTTGAGCGAGCTCTTAACCAACTGAGCCACTCAGCCGGCCCTTGATAGTTATTAGTTTTATTTCTCAATCCCTAAGGCCGACTCTGAAAGAGATTCAATTTTGAGTTAATGTGAACAGAAAAGATGCACTGTAGTGAAATATCCATGTTAGCAGCACGGGGAGGGGTATGACAACGGCCTTCTGGCAACTGGTATGACAGTCATAACTGGGTGAGGTCAAGGTGAACACGGCCTCAATGTATTTTGTACTCACTATGAAAGCAGCATATAGTCCTCCTGTAGCTGAGATGGTCAGTTTCACTGGCCTAAGTCCTAAATATAGGGGGAGGACTGGGTCAGTACTACAGGACAGGAGAAGAGGATGAGGACAATGGATATTAAGGATAATCCAATTATGCCTGCTTTTAACCCATCCTTACAAGAAGAAAGAAAGAAGAAATTAGGTGCTATGTATCTAATTACAACCAGCCTGCAAACCCCTAGAAAGCCCTACGTTGATGGCTGAAAAGACCACCTTTCCTCCTCTTGATAAATTAGCCAATATGCTCGGGCTGACATTTACCATATTTACACTACGGGAAAATGGAGGCAGAGTGCCTCCTGTGGGAAGTCCGGCAGGCTAGGGAGAGGGAAAGGCAGCCGCAGTCCTTGTTGCCGCGAGACTAAAACTTCAGTCCTGCCTGTATTGTTGACTCTGTGGCCATTTCTTCTCCATCACAACGACATTTTCTGCCCCTCCGTAACTCTAGGTAGTTGTGAGCGGCAATGTGAAAAAAGAACTTTCAGTTGTTCAGAAGAAGGACTTAGGAAACCCCTGACAGCGCAGCCATCGCCAACAACCAAGGGTGTCTGCGATGCTGACGGTCTTGGTTTGATATTCACAATGGTCAGATGGGCGCTGCTTTTACTGGCATTTCCCCGCCTTGGGCTGTTCCAATAAGGGATAAAATTTTAAATAGGAAATTATGATTAGATGTGTATGTATGCCTACAAACGTATATACAGGCTAGTTGTAACCAGATTAAACGAGATGAATGATGAATGACAGACGCTACATTCCCAAACGGCTGCAGATACAGAGACTTGCAGACAACAGACGACGACTGGATGGAAGGCTTAAGGCAGTGTCTATAAATACCTGGTCTGGGGCCCACTCCAGCTGCAGTACACACACACTACATGCATCATGGCTTCTGACGCTCTGTTTGAATTAGGAAACAGACAAGCAAACTCGGGTTAACAATGCGAACCACACAGCATGCAGGGTTATTGTCTCCATTCCTTTGCCATCTTTAACATCAGGAGCTGGCAGAGTCAAAGCTGGGTGATGTTTCTGCCATTTGAACATCCAAAGATTTGCTGGTTGCTTCAGTTCTCTCACAATACATAAAGTTAATGTGTCAACTTCAACAGGTTTTCAATGGAACTTGGAAAGAAATTAATTTCACACACAGAGAATTCAGGGGCAAACGTTGTGAGACAAGTGAAAAAAAGTTGACAGAGTCACATGACACGGACATTTTATGGAGTAAAGGTGAGTGAACACACGTAACAGTCACTTTCCAAATTTCCTTCTCAGTGGAGATTTCTTTTTAGAAGAAAAACAAACCAAACCTGATTATTTAATCTGGCTTAGCTTCTTCATCTTTAAATCCATTTTTAAAAAAACATATCAGATACAACTCCTGCTCTGAATTATTTTTCAATTGATAGAAAAGACAGATACACTTTGGTCTAGAGTAGCCACCGAAGAAGTAGTTTTTAGCAAAAATACTTTCACCTACTATGTCTGGAGTTTCGATTTTGATGATACTGGGAAGTCAATGTTCCAATTAAAGAGGACCTGATGTTGCAGAATTATTTCATTATTTAAACATTACAGAAATCGGCACAAGCCATCACCAGTTAACAAAAGGTCACGTGGGTAAAGAGTCATTTTCTTTGATCATTTAAAACTGATACATCTCCTTCACTATGCCTAAAAACATCTGTGGTTTCCATTTTCATCTCCTAATCTTTTTATTAAAAGGTAATTACCCAAAGAATAACTGTTATCAGGTTAGAAAACACTGCTACCATCAGCTAGTGTTTCTCAAACAAAAGCACCAATGTGTGTGTGTGTGTGTGAGTAGAGATTTCATAAAATAATAATATACCCCATTTTATTAATACATAGTAGTATGACTAAGCTGACATGTTACTAAGACGATGTAGAACTTTCTAAGCAGGTATGTCAAACTTACTCAAGTTTGTCTTACAGGGAACACTAAGGCTATGAATTTCTTCTTTCGTCTGGTCGTTCAAATTTCTCCCCTTCCTACAAAACACTTAAGTCACAACCCAAACTGAACTTTGTATGTAAAACTGAGCTAAAAGGTGGTGGTGGACTAGATTCTGAACAAGGCCAGCTTGGAAAACTTCACCTGCTACCCATGCCCATTCTAAAGAGGCTCAAGGCTAAAGCACTGGATGGTCTCCAGTAATAAACACGGGGAAAATCTGCCTGCTTATTTTTAAAGCTCTTAGCTTTTTTGTCTAGCAGGAAGCTATTCTCTGAACTTGTAGCTCTAATACCTTTCACTACCAGAAAACGCAATGTGTGATATTAGTTACTGATGAATAATTACAGCTCAAGATTTTACAATAACCCAAACTTAAAAGTGAATTCTCTTTAGCTTCTAGAAAATGCATCCTAGAGTCACTGTTCTGGAAAATATGGGGAAAAAGTACCCGTGGAAGTGGGATTTCAGCAAAACTGTGTCCCTCCACTGTATCCAGAAAACTTGGCTTAGTCTTTAGATTTAAACAAGCTACAACAATTGAGACTTAGAAAAAAAATAAAGTATTAGGTAGCTTCATCTCAATAGCTTACATACTATTCTAATTTGGCCCAATGACACACGAGTGTGACCTCATTAATAGCATAAAAACTATTTTGCTTAATGTTCAATTATGCTTCTCATTGTTACTTCTGTCTTTGGTGACAGTACTTACAGTAGATATGAAAAAGGTTAGGGCTGCTTAGTCACAGCGACAATGCTACTCTCCAATATAAATGAGCCTAAGGAAAAGAAATTTTCAGGGAAATACTGCTAAACTCAAGAGGAAGTATCTGCTTACTGTTATAATTTTCTTTAGGGGAAAAAAAAAAAAAAAAGACAAGACTTTTTAGGAAGCCTACCAAAATGTGCCTGAGCAAGTAACACCCAATCTATTTTGCACAGCAGTGGATTGCTGCTTCTCTAGCTGTTGAACACGGAATTGTTCTTTACTGTATGTAGAGATGGAAGGAGGTGGTAGGAGGACAAGGAACACATCTGACAGGACGATGAGACTGATCACGAACTGGAAAGGTCCCTATCCCCTCTGAGGCTCGAACTTCCCTGGGTTTACCACCAATCACAAGACTACTACTCGAGAGCCTGGACAATGCCAAGTACCTGCATCCTGTACGGACTTTTGAAGGGCTTCTGCTAATTCTTGGTCTGCTATCTCCTCTGGCCGCACATCCTCTCGCCCGGCCCCATATGCCAACCGGGCGCACTCTGGTAGCTCTCCCTCGGGAAGGAAGGTGGTCTGCGAGCCTGTGGTGCCGATCACCAGTACATTTTTCTTGAGGTCAATGGAACACTTAGGAGGAAGAAACCACAGACTGATGACAGCAGGTAAAACACCATGCAGAAAAATTATGATCCCGAATTGGAAACTCCATTCACAAAGAGCAACATGACAGAGAGAGACAGCTCAAAAAAATTTTACCTAAAAGTAATTAAATGTTAACCTAGGTGACACTGCCTGTTAATTTAGAATTTTTTTAATATTTAAACTTTATAGCAGAATAATCTTTATAGGATAGAGTTTACACTTATTTGTCTAAAAAAACACTTGCTCATTTCTGAGTTTAAATGTAATACATGTTCTTTGTACAAAATTTGGAAAAAAGCCAGGCATAATCAGCAGCCCCACCTTTTACAAACATATGATTTTTTCCTTAGAAAACTGAGGCACACCATTTATACAGTTTTATGTTTCGCTTTTCATTTACTGTATAAAAGTACAGCTCATATGGAAACTCTATTCTGAGGTCTCAAAAGTGGTACAGAGACAAGGTAATGTTTACAAAAATGTTCTTTATTTTGTACTTATGCTATCTTCCTTTTCTGTGTGTTTTTATAATAACTTCATGTAGGACAGTTACACATACATATGCTTTGTATCTATAAAGTTGGTCTATACCATGACTAAAAAATTAAGAAAAGATAGTGACAATAAAGGTTTTATATTATACATGCATTCACTCATTCCTTCCACTTAAAATTCTGTGCCTTGATTAGAATACCAATGCAATATATAGTTTAGAGGAATTTAATATTAAAAAATTTTAGAGTATAAGTGACATAAAAAATATTGACTAGATATGAAACCTTGCTATGAAAAATTTTACTACCCAGTGGATACTAATTGCTTCTTCACTGAAGAGGAATTTATCTTAAATTATTAGGCTTCAGAGTAGAAATATAAATATCACTGCAAATGAATAAAGTTACAAATCATTCTCCCTGTACTAAATAAAGATTTCCAAATCTTTAAAAAAAAAAAAATAAATAAAACAAACATTTCCATTTCCACCATCATATGTATACCTTCTTCCTTAATCTCAAAGCTCCTCTTCCCAAGCATTGTTTGACCAGTTATTAAGGACTTACTAAATTTGCACTTGCAGTAAAATCATCGTGTGTTATTTACGCTTCCCTACAAGCCCATCAAAAAATCACTTGAGTCCTAATCAGAAACTAAAAATTACATAAGAGAACCAAATTGCCCGTTATAATCTCAAAACAGATGGCAAGATTTAAGATTCAGAGAGACTGCACAAAAACAGATTCTATTTCTACTTATACATAATTTCAAACCTTGCATGACATCATCAATTAAGGACCCTTCCAGGTTTGAGGAGTTGTGCTTCTTCGTTTCCAGGATACACAGCCGAGAGAAATGATGCAATAATCGCCACATAACACACGAAAAGCCAACGCAAAAAGAAGGGAAAGCCCTTTATTACCTGGTGTCGTTTCAGCATGTCCAGTCCCAGAAGCATGTCCATGGGCTGCTCCTCGAGTATAGAGAAGGAGCACGCCAGGAAATCGCCTTCAATTTGAACCTGAGCTAAAGCACATGGAGAAGAGAAGAGGTTATTGATTTTTGCTTCAAAAGCCCCAGGCAAGCTTTGGAAATGTATCTATCATTCTGTGCCTTGCTTCTTGCAATCAGTCGAAGCCAAGGCAAAGTACACAAGCAGGTGAATTAACTAGGAAAAGAAGATCCTATAAGATTAATGATCAGCTTAAAAGCCACCAGCTAGTAAAGCGGATTAAAAAAGAGAGACCAGTAAATCACCCACTTCCTATACACTTACAAAAGGTTTTCTAAAAGGGAAATAAAATCGGTATACTTTAAACCTTTTAAATTAGCCTCCAAAAAAACCAACTGTTTATTATTACCTATTATAATCAAGTTTCTATTTGCCAAACCAGAGACAGACAGCACCAGGGCCTGTGTTTGCCTAGAGCCTCCTGCCGTGCCTCTTTTGTCAATTCTTCTTCTTACTTTATATATAAGATTAGAAATTTTACTTTGTTAGTAAGTATCTCTTTCAAACAGAACAGTGTATGAAATATGTGTACAGGATAACGCATAAGACAAACACCCACACATCTTTTCCCCAAGTTAAGAAATAGAAAACTAAGGGTCTCCTACATGTCCTACTGATCCCAACTTATTCTGTGCCTCCTCCCACCCTCCCCACGATCGTGCATTTCGTTTTACTGTCCCCCGTTTTTCTTATAGTTCTTACCAGCTTTGCGTGACTTCTAAGCAACATATTGTTGTATATGGTTTAGTTTAGTGTTTCTGAACTGTGATTTACTCTTTTACTCAAATTTTGAGATGTTTGATCCCTGCAGATGAGTGTGACTATGTTTCACTTTATGTCACCCCTGAGAGTGCTGTCATGTCTCACACACCAGAACTGATGTGCTCATTCCGCTCCTACAGGACTTTCTGGGTTGCTTCTGTCTCTGCTGTCACAGCGGTGCTAACATGACTACTCTTGTACTTGTCTCCTGGTGTGCCATCAGTTTCTCTAAGGTATATTCTAAAAAGTACAATTACAAGGTTCTACGGAATATTGGGCTCAATTTGGCTTGATGATGTTGAATTATTTTCTAAAATGTTTCTGGCAGTGCATGAGAGTTCCCATTGCTCCACATTCTCACAATAACATTCAATATTATTAGATTAAAATCTTGCAGTAATTTTGTTTTTTGTTTTTAAAGATTTTTTATTGGGGAATTGGGGGATGGGAACAGACAAGTTGCTGTTCTTTTGTTCTTCAGTCTAGTTATGGAGGATGTTGCTTCACTAGCCCAAGTTGGCACCATCATTGCAACCCACTGCAGCAGGGGCTGCAGCCTCCGCCATCGCCGGTGACTCACAGCAGCCCAGCTCCAGGTTGAGCTGTTGTTCACCATCTTAGCTGTAGAGGGCAGTGTCACTGGTCCTCATATGTGGGATCCGAACCGGGGCCCTCTGGCGTCCCAAGCCAGCTCTTAACCAACACGCCACTCAGCCAGCCCTCTTGCAGTAATTTTGTATTTCCCTGATTAATGACGAGGTTAAGCAACTTTTCATATACTCATTAGTCATTTGGGCTTTCTCTCAAAGTGCTTCTATAATGTTTTTATACTGTCTTTCCTACTGAGTTTGTGTCAAATTACACAGAATTTGTGCACATTCTGAGTATGAATCCTTTATTAGTTTATGTGTTACTAAAATTCTTTCCTAGTTTGTGTTTGCTCACTTTACTCATATGATTCTTTTGATGAAAAGTTCTTAATGTAGTTGAATTTATCAAATAATTTCCTTCCTATCTTTGAAAGCAGCCCTTCCCTATGCAAGATATTCTCTATTTTCTTCTTCTGAAAGCTTTGGCTTGCCTTGCACATCTAGGTCTTGAATCAACCTTGAATTCACTTTTGTGTGTGATGTGAAGCCAGGTCCAATTTCCAATTCATTTTTTCCACATGGATACCCAATTGCCCTTGCTCCATTTCCTGAAACTTTCCCCGTTGCTCTGTATTTCCCTTTTTCATTTATCAAGGTTCATATCAGCATAGGTCTGTTTCTGTTCTAGTCCTTTCATCTTGATATCCCCTTCTAAGTTATTCCGAGTATCTTGACTACTTCTGCAATAAAGGGCCCATGTAAAATTTTAAATCAGCTTATCAAGTCTGAAAAAAACCAAAAAACAAACCAAACAAAAAAAAACACCATCCTATTGGGATGTCAACGGTATTAACAAGGATTCTGTTGATGAATGTGGGAGAATTACCACCTTCAACATATTGAGTCTTCCTATCCATGGCACAGCTCTCCTTATGTAGATTTCCCTTATTGTTGTGAGGGTTTCTTCATGCCTATCACAGCCAAAATTGCAAAATAGTATACAACTTGTCCAGCCACAAGGAACTGGTACTACTGGGTTGTCGGGAAAGTCACGACGAATTTTTCCATGTTTTTTGTTGCAAAAATGCGTCATGACTTTCCAACAACCCAATATTTTGTCTCCTCCTATTCTCTTCTCACTTAAAACCATGGAAAGTCTGGGATATTAGCCTCTGAAGCAACCAATTTGTGATACTCCTATCCATTTTCAGTCCTACTATGTCTAGGGAAAGTATACGCAAGTAAGGGATTTAAATTATCCTATTCTATACAAATCAATCAAATAAAAAAACAGACACTCTAATAAATAGACACATATATTAAAAAAGAAAGGTACTCAGAAAATTATAAGACACTGAAGAAAAAACCTGAAGACGATACAAACAATGGAAGCATATACCATGTTCATGGACAGGAAGAATTAACATAGTTAACATGTCCATACTACCCAAAGCAATCTACAGATTCAACGCAACCCCTATCAAAATACCAATGGCATTTTTCACAGAACTAGAACAAATAATCCTAAAATTGATATGGAACCATAAAAGACCTCAAATAGCCACAGCAATTTGAGAAAGAACAAAGTTGGAATTATCATGCTACCCGATATCAAACTATACTACAAGGCTATAGTCATCAAAACATCAAGGTATTGACATAAAAACACACACAGATCAATGGAATAAAATAGAGAGCCCAGAAATAGCAACAATTTTTTTTTTTTTCCAGCTGAGCCATCCTGCCACCTGTTGGCAGCTCAGCTCAGGCCAGGACTTGAACTGCTGTTGCTCAGAGCTCACACTCTTGAGCAAGTTCTTAACCAACTGAGCCACTCAGTTGGCCCCGAGAGCCCAGAAATAAATCCATGCCTATATGGTCATTTAATTTACAACAAAGGAGGCAAGAATATACAATGAGGTAAAGACAGTCTATTCAATAAATGGTGCTGCAAAAACTGGACAGATACATGCAAAAAAAAAAATTAAACTAGACCACCTTCTTGCACCATATACAAGAATAAACTCAAAATGGATTCAAGACTTAAATGTAAAACCTGAAACCATAAAACTCCTAGAAGAAAACATAGGCAACAAACTCTCTGACATTGCCTTTAGTGGTATTTGTACTGCTATGTCTCCTTGGGCAAGAGAAACAAAAGAAAAAAATAAACAAATGGGACTACATAAATTGAGAAGATATCTGCCAGTGAAACATCTGATAAGGGGTTAATATTCAAAATTTATAAAGAGCTCATACAACTCAACACAAAAAAAAACAAACAAATAATCCAATTTAAAAAATGGGCAGAGGACCTGAATAGACATTTCTCCAAAGAGATGGCCGATACACATAATCTGATTAAACCCAATGGAAAAGGAACCCTTCAGGACCCAGTGAAGGGAAATTCCCAAACAGCCGCTATGAAGCAGCCTTGAACCACCAGTCCAGGCTCCGAAAGAAGCATCTTTAATAGGATGAAAGGTATAAAGGAGATTTACACAAGTTGGTAAGTGTCTGGGGGATGAGTAACACACAAAAAAATGCAATGACCAAAAAAAAAAAAAAAGAGAGAGAGAGATAATTAATTCCAAGAAAAGGAAAAGCAATTATTTTCAATTATATGGCTATGTTCTCAATAGTATTCATATAGTCATATCAGTAAACAGCACTATGAACATGTTCTTTAGAAATATGGAGATAAGGACCTAAAGAAACCAGCTAAAATAGTTGGAAGGGATTATCTGTGAGGAGCAGGAACTAGAAGTACATAGAGGACTGATGTTTTTTTGTAACCAGCTGAAACATGCACACATATGTAACTTTAACACAGGGTTTAAAATTTCTAGGGATTAGATGTACCCACTCCAAAGAAAAATGCTGAACCACTACCCTACAAAGACTCCCAGTGCCCTTTGCTCACCTAGGTGGACCCTTCCAATAATCTTCTGGGTGCCTACTCCTTTAGCGATCCCTGCCCACCGACGATCCACCAGCCTCATTATATTACACCTTTCTGCACAGGCTTGGCTCATAATAGTCATCTGGGCGCCTGGAGGTGGAGAGAAACATCAGATAATAAAGACAAAAATCCACATTTGTGATGAGATTAACAATGCAGCACTAAGAACAGGGCAGAAAGCAAGGCTTGTCTGTGTGACATTATCCCTACCTAGCAGGTTTCCTACCACACTTAGTTCAACTTTCAGTTCCACATTGGAATCTGAAACATAGTGTAGAAACCTGGTACTGAGGGAAAGAATATTTTTTGTTTAAATGTAATAATGAAATATTTAAAAACTTTACCCATGGGAAGCAAAACTACCTGGAAAGGACTTCTAAAAAGTCAAACTGTCTACGGATGGAAACGCTCAATTAAGTACTACACTTTACCTTCAGATCCTTTTCCACTGAGTATCTCTAAACATCACATCAAGTTCTTTTTACTTCAAACTTTGGGACGCTCTAATTTATTGAAAAATGCATCATACACTCTCTAAAAACACTGGAACTGAATTTCCCATTCCCTGCTCCAAAAACCAGCCCCTCTTCGCTCTCAGGAAGTGGGCAGCGAGGGTCTTTTCTCTCCGGGTGACATGAACTCACCACCACTGGAGCTGGCCTGTGTGGAAGACACACTTCTCTAATCTTTACCTACAGAGCTAATCTGTCCCGTGGACTCCAATTCCACATTCATGTGTGTCGGACATTTCTATCTTAAAGCCACCAGCAATACAACTTTCTCCCCAAATAATTCTCATTTTGGATTCCTCTCCTTGCCAATGGAATTATTTTCTTGCAATCGTAAAATTTGGGCATTGTTCACTTGAGTCCTCTTCGTTTAGCCTACTCCCCACTCTAAACTGTTCCAATCCTGTTGGTAACTTCTTTGCAATTTCTGCTATTTCTGAATCCCCTCCTTCTAACCACAGCAATCAGCCTAGCTCACACTCTATTCCCCTTGCGAGTGGACAATTCCTCTGGTTTCCAAACCCCTCTGCAGATGTATAATTTAAAGCAAGAAAATGGTTCTGACCCTAAGGTACAGAATTCTCCAGATGTGTCACTGTCTTCCTGAAATACCACCTTCTTCGGATCACTTATTCATTTGCTCAGAGATGCTCAATGGCTCCTGCTCTTTATAAGCTCAGCTTCAAATCACATCAACATAACTTCAGATCCCTCCTCGTCCTGGTCCAACTATTTCCAGCTGCTATAGCCTGAATGTTTGTATCCTTCCAAAATTCATGTGAAAACCTAATCCCCAATGTGATATCAGGAGGTAGGGCCCTTTGGGAGGTGATTAGGTCATGAGAGGGGAGCCCTCATGAAGGGGATTGGTGCCCCTATAGGAGACCCCAGAGAGCTCCCTCACCCCTTCCACCGTGTGAGGACCTAGAGAGAAGGCTGCCATCTATGAACTAGGAATCGGGCCATCACCAGATACGAATCTTCCAGCATCTTGATCCTGGACTTTCCAGCCTCCAGAACTATGAGAAATAAATCTGTGTTGTTTATAAGCCACCCAGTCTATGGCATTCTGTTACAGCAACCCGAACAGACTCAGACAACAGCCTTATATTACAAATGCTCTCATCTAAACCCTCTACTTTACTGGGGGAATTGGGTCCCCTTGCCACTTACTCACTCTGACCCTCCTGTAGGGTCCCCCCTCCCCTGCTGTCACCACTTTCTCTGAATTCCACTTACGCTTTAAGGCCCAGCTCAAGACCCACCTCCTCCCCAACTGTCCTTTCCCAGTGATCTCCCCTCAGATTCAGTTCCAACATTTCCTGTTCCTAGTACTCATTAGGCAACTTACACTTTGTGGACACCGAAAGCTCTTGCCATTTGGGGAAGGTTAGATTCGAGAAGGCCCAGAAATAATGAAGGAAAAGGGAGTTTGGGCAGATAGTTTCCTCTTCTCCTCCTCCGTCCCCCCTCTGCTCCACGAAAGCTAGTTACTGATGTAAAGGAAGTAAGCCCAGGGTGAGAAGGGTCCCCTCCACTGTTCTCATGCCTCCTCTCAAGTCTCAGCCCGAAGTCCCGATCCTCAGTGCAAATGCCCTCTTTTGAAAGCACCCCTGAGCACCCAGTCAGAGTGAGAATGTGGTCTCTGTGCGTCCAGGCACCTGATGGTTGCATAGTGGTTAAGGGTTCTGGCATCAAGCAGCTCAGGGGTTGAATCCCCAGCCTACTACTCGTGAACTGTGTGTACCTGGGAAACAACTTCACCGCTCTCTGAGTTTCCTCATCTATAAAATAGGCTAACAGTACAACATAGCTCACAGCGATATTCTGAGGATTAAATAAAACTGAGTAAGATGATATAACACTAAGCACCTTAGTTAATGTAGCATGAATTAGCAATGGTGCTTGGCACATAGTAGGGGCTCAATAAATGCTGAGTGTTATACTAGGGTCTCTTATGCACTTGTCTCTCTCACTCACAGGGACGTTAAGAAGCACCAGTGAGTCAGTCTTCCCCTCAAGCACTCAGCACAAGGCCATGCACACAGCACTCAACAGGCATTTCAATAACTGAATAATCAGCAGCTTACTTCTCCCAAGAATATATACATCTCAAGAATCAAATTCTTAACAATGACTGAAACCTGGCATGTGCTCAAGTACTTGCGGGTGAACAAATGGAGGAAAATGCCCTCGAGTGGGAGCTTTTATGCTTTAGGAACTCATCCTGCCTCACAGCCTGTGTGAGACCCAGCATCAAGACCCTCGAGACCACTGTCACACCCACATGGTGCTGCCCGTGTGTGGTCTTACTAAAAAGCGAAGAGTTGTTACTGAGAGATATGGTGCCAGTTAGGACAGAGGTTATCTGAACCGTCAGGTGCGTAACTCCCTGCCTCCTTACTTGGCTGTTAAGTTCTTTAAGGGAAAGAAGCATGCTCGCCCCCACACAGCCTCTACTCCTCATAGCTCCTGGCAGAGTGATGCACACAGACCAGGTGGAAATAACTGTTTGACCTTCACTCTACACAGCTCTTCCTTATATTCCTTACTCTAAACCCACTGGCTCCCCAGAAACCCAGGATTGCCAAACGAGGGGAGGTAGGAAGATAAAAAGGAGACACCACAAAATACAAAACTGGTTAAAAAATTATTAAAGAAACAAACCTATCACAAACAAGAAAAGACTGGCAAGTGAAACAGTAACCCCTGGGCTTACTGATTAGCAGTCCAAAGGACTACTGCCATCTTTAATGGACACTGGAGTCTCCCCTTCTCCCTGGAGCAGGTCAGAAGGGTGGATGGAGAGACAAAAACACAACAGATGGAGATGTCACCTGAGTCAACAAAGGCTTTCACAGGATGTCCATTCACTTTGCAGTTAATATAAAGCATCACTACTTGGCCAAAACTTTCCGGAGCCTCTTCCATAGCTATTGTCATGTTTTCCTCAATGTTCTGTTGCCTGTAACAAACCAAAACCAGGTACACTAAAAGCATTATTTCCATGAGGGGAAATCTGTTTCAAAGTCACATATTAAAAACAGACTTGTATATATCTTTTGCCCCAATTTGCAGCTGAGTCATAGCAATGGAAACTGGTGCTCTCTCCTGCAATATATGATTTAGTAGGAGGTAGTGCGATGTAGAGTTAGCAGAAAATCTAAAAGCATACAAATTACCATCATGTAAAATGACTACGTTTGTTCTCTTTACAAACTCAGAAACTCAGGAGAGTAAGGGTCACAACCCTTTTTATCTTGTACAATTTCATGAATACTCTAATTTTAATGGAGGGTTTCTAGATATCTGGGTACATTTCCTCTGTCCAGTGCATTAAAAATTGTTTGCAAATATAATACACAGATGTTTCAACTGCTTGTGTTGCATGCACCTGCTGCTTAATCTCCAGGTTGTTTTCTAATCTGTGAAATGAGGATAATTTCTATTATAGGATTGCTGAGAGGTACAAAGCATCCATTATACAACGCCAACATTAGAGCAGATGTTCTAAAGATGCTCGGAAAATATCCATCTGCCTACCTAGCTATCAGTTAGAAATGACACACACATTTGTATCACAGTTCACCTGGTCCATCAAACCATTTCTTCAAAAATTGAACCTGTTCTAATGATCACATAAGAAAAGCAGGTAAAAGGAGTTCCAGCTTACTCCAACATCTCATGTCTTAATCCACAGCCTCCTTTTAAAAACATAACCAAAAATTACCGACATTAACAGGAACCGGGCAGTGGCTGGGCCACTTACCTGAAGGCTGAGACTTAACAGAACAGGGGCCAAGGTTTAGGTAAATTACACTGTAAACCAGGGTCTAGTAAACCACAGCCCAGTCTGTTTGTGGGAACAGGGCAGCACCGTTCATTTACATACTGGTATCATCTATTGCTGCTTTGTACTGCGCTGCCAGGACTGGGCACCAGCAACAGAGACAGCATGGCCTGCAAAGCCTAAAATATTTACCATCTGTCCCTTAACGGGAAAGGCGGGCTGACCCCTGCTCTAAACTGTAGTGCCTATCCTTTTAGTAGTACGACTCTAGCTAGCCCAATTGAACTGATGGTTTTATCGGCCATTCTGCAATAAAATATTAAACTTCTCAGAAAGTTTAAGGCACACTCATTTAATTTAGTCACGCAAATATGCAAGCTAATACACCTCGGTGTGCATATACCTTGTGTAATTGCTGGTGTAGCATACCAAATAAAACTTTAAGAGGCATTTCATATAATTACAGTTTTTCTCCTGTGCCATCTTCTTTAGAAATAACCTAAAGTTAGTTGTGCACTCCTGACCTTGCACTAACTCCAACCAAGGTAAGTTAGAGCAAAAATCTTCTGAGATAATGCCAGTTACTTTGGCTATTCTGGGCTCTGTAGACAGTCTCTTTACAGGCACAAGGTTTTCTCCTTTAATAGCATGTATGCGTTACCCCGTTTCCTTTACCTCACCCCCTGAAAGAATCCTAAACCATATGGATATGCCTCATTTCACTTCTTCTCTTCCAGTAGCTAAGTGTCATGGTTTGGCTATGATACCTCCCCACACTCCCTCCCACCTCTCCTGCTTCCTGGGTTGAACGCAATTATTTTGAGAATTATGTCAGGTTCCCTTAGAGCTGCAATGCGGTCTAGTTCAGAGAACACAAAAATCTTCCTATTTCTCTGGGTAGCTTTAACTAGTGAGATGTTTCTCAAAGATCTTCATTAATGGGAACACTTAACCAACAAGAACACAGGTGAACGTCTTAGGGCTGGCAAGGGATTCTGGAGTACAATGTACATTTCTTTGATTTCAAATGTAGTCAGAGAAACACGAAAGCCATTATTTGACTTCCAAGTTGACAGTGTAACAACAAACTTAGGCTTCATTTAGTGACCACAGATGATGACAAAGCCCCTAAAAGGAGGATTGCTACAGTTATGTTCTTTGTTACACTAACGCCTTCACAATTAGCAACAAAAACGGAATCCAGGGGTGGGGAAGAAAAGCAGCTGCTCTTTTCTTCAGAGGAACTGACTGAACAGCGTCCTGCTTGTGACCAGGGGAGGCATCAGCCTCACTGTGCCTGCAGAGGCCCCACCGCTAAGGCTCTGATTCATCAGGTTTGGGAGTAAAGCCCAGCATCTGCAGTTTTAAAGGCTTTTCACGTGCTATTAATGCAGCCCCAGGTGAGAGCCACAGCATTAAATAACTGGAGCTGGAAATGTGTCCAGCAGTCAGTTTATCCAGAGGTGAGAACAAGAACTGCGCGAGGCAAGACTCAGGACAAGGTTACATTTATACAGAGCCCCTCCCCTCTCTCTCCTGATCCAATCACCTTCTAGCCCTGGGTTTAATAAGGGCTCATGTATCATGTGTAAGGAAAGAGATTCCAACCAGCCTGTGTAGCCACCCTAGCAGTCTCACCAAACTGGGGGCTTCTGCTCAGTCCTGGGGTCATTTGCCTGGGGTAGCTTTAATGATGCACTGTAGGCTAGCCAAGGAGTCTTTATTAGAATTTTAGATGAGGAAGTCAGTAAGTTAGGTATCTGGTACCTTTGCAATGTTGAATCAAAATGAGAGGAAAATGGAAGAGAGAATAACGGAAAAGACTGAAATTACTATCTCAAATGCAAAAACAAGGAATCTACCTCAAAGCAGATGCCCAAATATTAACCAAACCCTGAGGTTTGGGAGATCTGGACTCTCTAACTCTTGCTCTTGAGGTGAAGGCGCCATTACCTTATATCTTCTTCTATTTTGGCCTGAGCTTCAAGATCAAAAGGATCAGCAGAAAAGAGACGGATCCTTTCTTGCTCTCTCCGGGCTCGGTCCTGCTGCTGCTCCACCAGGACTCTAGAAAATTTCTCTACAAAAATAAGGGGAACATCTTAAGTACCACTACATTTCATTCTCTATCAGTACTTCTCCACATCAAACCATTTCTCAAATATAACTGTAAGAGATGCAGAAAGGATGCCCCCAAATTAAACGAGCAATAACATTTACTTTGTATTCTGACGCAAGACTACTTCACCTAAATTCAGCATACAAAAGTAAAGTACCTGCAAAAATCATTCAGTCTTATAAGAGGTTATCACATTGTTTCTATTCAGAGAGAATGACATTTCACTTTTATTCAGTGGGGAATGACATCTGTGCTGCAGAGAAGGGACCCACTCCTCCCGTCCCCATTGCCCTATTCTATTACCTAGAAATAAAAGAGCACTACGAGCCCCCTTTTCCTCTTCTAGTTTCATTTCCTTTCTAACACTCTCTGCCTTAAAGCAGACAAATTAAATGCAAACTACTGTTGCCCCATCTATATTACCTGATAGGTAACAGGCAGGAAAATTAGCAAAGAAAAAACATTGCTTGCTGTTAAGATGTATGCTACAAGAACCACCTTTATTTTGCTATTTCTTTTTTTTCTCTGGGGCAGGTCTGTTTTTTTGTTCTTTTTTAAAGATTTTTATTGGGGAATCGGGGAAGGGATACAGACAAGTTGCTCTCCTTTTGTTCTTCAGTCTAGTTGTGGAGGACGTCGCTTCACTGGCCCATGTTGGTATAGTGATCTTTGCGCTCTTCGCAGTTGAGGCAGATCGGTCACCAGCCATTGGACAGCTATTCACAGCGGCTCTGCCAGCTGCCGCTGCTCACGCTGGCTACCAGCCAACTCACAGTAGCCCACGGCAGCCCACTGCAGCCTATGCTGTTGCTGGCGACTCACGGGAGCCCAGCTCCAGGTCGAGCTGTTGTTCACCATCTTAGCTGTAGAGGGCGCAGCGTCACTGACATATATGGACTCCGAACCAGTGGCCCTGCTGCTCAGAGTTCGTGCTCCCAAGCCAACTCTTAACCAACGAGCCACTCAGCTGGCCCTATTTTGCTATTTCTTAAATGGGGGTACATTAAATGTGTAAGCTTAGGGCTGGCCAAGTGGCGCGTTGGTTAGGAGTTGGCTTAGGAGCGCGAGCTCTGAGCATCAGGGCCCCGGTTCGGATCCCACATGAGGGCCAGTGACACTGCCCTCTACAGTTAAGATGGTGAACAACAGCTCGACCTGGAGCTGGGCTGCCGGGAGTCGCCGGCGACGGCGTAGGGTGCAGTGGGGTTGGCCGGCAGCCGGCGTGAGTGGCCATCTAATGGCCAGCAAGCGACTGCCTCACCCAGGAAGAGCGCAATGATAATACCAACATGGGCCAGTGAAGCAACGTCCTCCTCAGCTAGACTGAAGAGCAAAAGGACAGCAACTTGTTTGTTCCCCTCCCCCAATTCCCCAATAAAATCTTAAAAAAAGAAAGTGTAAGCTTAAATGTGCCATCACCAAGGTCTTTGGGAATTAGATACGTTGCATAAGAAATTAAAGAAACCAAGATAATGGTTACATGAACTAATACACACAACACGTATGAATCTAAAAAACATTAAGTTGAATGAAACAAGCCTGACACAAGAGGACATACTGTATGATTCCATTTACGTGAAGATCAAAAATAAGCAAAACTAACCTATAATGATTATCACAATAGTGATAACCTAGAAGGGGAGGAAACTGAATACAAGGGAACATGATGGAACTTTCTGGAGTGAGAGAAACGTTCTATACCTTGATTGGGGTGGTGGCTGCATGAGTTTGCCAAAACTCAATGAATTGTATACTTAAAATCTGTGTATTTCTCTGTAGGTAACTATTACCTCAATTTAAAAAATGGTTATGGAGGAATGAGTTATTAAGTGTCTGATATGTTTTAAAACTTAATCATAAATTTTAAACCCAGGAGTAAAATTTACGAAATTTACAGAAAAAACTTTATTCATAAAGATGACTAAAAATAAATGTCCTGTTAAATAAAAGAATGGCTCAAATATAGCTTCCAATAAACAGTTGGTAACAACCCTGCTATCATTAAACTTGGGGAAGATGAGAATAAGGGGGTTCCATTTTGCCACACAGGCTGATGGCGCTGACCCTGTTTCCTGGAACTAAAAGGAAAGGTGCTTTCTTTAATTAAGGATCTAATTAAACAGGTCAAAATATCAGTACCTGGGTATATGCTGCTAAAATAATTAGGGAAAAACAGGTAAATGGGAGGGGCTGGTCTAGCTGGATTTCTGAACTCTCTGTAGCCCTAACATTCTGTTGTTGTTACCAATTAATTAAACCAGCCTTTGACATCAGCACTAATTTACCTCTCCTAGACCAACGCATATGTTCAATAAGTCATGTGACACAGTGGGTTGAACACACTAGTTGCCTGAGTTTCTCTACATTGGCTGTGACACAAGCACTTCACCCCGGGTCAGCCCGATGGCCTTCCAAACTGATAAGCTTACCAAGATCTCCGCTGAGCAGAGCGTCTGCCAGGGGCGGATTGCGTTCCTTCAGCAAGGACAGCTCATGGGGGTTGGCCAGCAACATGTCTCGGAGCAAGGCCGGATTGTCCAGACCCTGAGGGGATGAAGCTATGTCTCCGGGAGATGAGTGGGGCTGCTGTGCTCCCGGGGGCTGCGGCTGCGGCTGCCGGGAGCCTGACGTGCCAGGCACAGCTATACTACGGAAGTCTATTCGGGGTAAGTCTGTTGGGGAAAATCGATTCAGTTTACTTCAAATGACTCCATGAAAACAAGCATCTGAAGGAAACAGCAGAACATTTGCTCATGCGCGGCATGTGACAGCAAGCAGTAAGCGGTACTCGCAGGCGTTCTCATGCCCCTCCCTTGCTCTTCATGCTGACTTTGAATATAAAGATTGCAGTCTCGGAGTCAACAGGTAGGAAAGAAAAGAAAAGTGGTGGGGGCACACACAAAGGTAGTAACCCCAAATTTTTGGTTTATAAAATATCCTAGAATAAGTTTTATTTTTGTTTTAAAAAAAATAAAGCTAGTCTCCATAAACGTAACTGCACAAATTTGGATGTGGTTCTTAAAAAAAATCCTGGTCTGCTTTGACACATGCTTCGAAGAGCCCTGATACCTTTGAATCAAGAATACTATACATATCAAGTGAACAGCATAAATGTTAGATGGTAAGTTCTCCAAGTTTGTGTGACACACGTTAGCTCTTTGAATTTACACCTTCATCTGTGCATCACTGCTGCCTCTTATACCCCAGGGGAGCTAACAGGTGTAATCATTTTACAGGAGAGAAGAAAAGAAACTTGCATAGGTTCTCGGTGCTGAGGACACCGAAAGATATAACAGATTTAGAGGCTACAATTCCTGGTTCTATACTTCAGGTTGAGCTGACCTTAATAAAAATGAATGTAAAATGAACAAGAGCCTTACACAATGGGCCCAAATATTGTATGAGTCCATGTATATGAAATGTCCAGAACAGGAAAATACAGAGACAGAAAGTGAAGTGTTGGTTGCCCAGGGCTAGGCGGCTTAAGGGTAGATGGGGAATGACCGCTAATGGGTACAGGGTTTCTTTTTAAGGTGCTAAAATTGATTGTTCTGATGGGCGCACATCTCTAAATATACTAAAAATCACTGAACTGTATCCTTCAAATGAGTGAAGTCTATGGTATGTGAATGATCTCAATAAAGCTGTTATTTAAAAGTTTTATTTTTTTAAAAGGAAAAAGAAAAAAAAAACTAGAAAAGTAGAGCATGAGGGCTAGGACTCAGAGAATCTACATTTCTTCAATCCCAAAGTGTTATTTAATGGTCACACTTGTCCCAAGTCTAGGCTAAGCTGTTTGGACCGCATATAAAAGGGGATGCTTCAACTCGGGCATAAGGTTTTTGCCTCCTAGCATGGGCTCAACTAGTCCCTTTCTTCAAACGGACCTCAGCTGGCAGCTAGTCTGAGTGTGTGGGCACATATGTGCCTGAGCCTCCAACCAATGAAAAGGTGGAGTGAATGGCATGATCCCAACTGGCATAACACATAATGGGCAGGCCTTCGTTGTGGGTTGAAAAATTTTATCCTCACCCTGTTATACTTATCTTGAGAGTCTGTTTGCTTCAGAATAATTCTGAAAAGCCTGTTTACCTTACAGGCCAGATCCATCCTCTCTCTCTCACCTACTGACTCTCTTGTCTCCATGGGACAGTACAGAAAAAAAACCCAGTACATCTCCGGAACTAACGTTCTCACCAAATTGATCAAAGGAAGATTTGGTTTTTATTGACTGGCATATTTGAACCACTACTCTTTCTGAAGTTTAGCTGTAGCCCCAAGGGAGTAACGTAACCCAAATCTGGGAGGAACGGTGCTTGTTGATCTCTTATAGCCCCAGTTTCAGGCTGAATGAAAGACTGTGTTCTAAGCTAGAGTCTGTCATCAACTGGACACCTATCAGCTGTTACTGTAACTTTTAAAACCAAGTGACCTAGAGACAAAACACTGTTTAAAGAAACCTATCAGGCTACGGGCAGGGAATGGAAAAACACTACTACACTTCATCAAGTAGTCCCACATCAGAGCCTTACAAGCTTTTGTAGGTCATAAACCCCTTTGAGTATCTTAAGAAAGTTCTGGGCCCTGTCCCCATCAAATGTACACAGGCCCCCACAACTGTTTCTTATTTCAGGAACACAGATGCCTCCTAAATGCGTAAGATCCCACATTATAAACACCTACTCTGGATGGAGCATCTAAGGAAAAGAACAGTTTCTTTTTACATGATTAGCAAAGCTGGTGAGAAAGAACCCAAAGTTGGTGATCCAGCTGCTTAATGTTCATAAAGCTCAGTGTAATGGAAAAAGCACCAAGTTTTCATTCCTAACCCTTCACTTATTAGCTAGGTAACTTGGAAGACATTATTTGGAAATTGGAGTTTCATCTGTTAATGACAATAAATTGTAAAGAGGAATCTCTTCCCTTACATCTGGGTTAAGAGAGCACGTGAAAAGTGGGGACAAGTGCCTGGCTGACTGTAAAATACTCCCCAAAGGCTTGCCACTGAGCCCAGACACCAAGTAGCAAAAGACAGTCAGGGACCAGGCACATGTAGGTTCTCACGTCCTTCCCAAGGATAAAATTTTCATTGGTAACAACAGAATCTAACATTCACATTTATGTGCCGAAGGTTTTACATGCTTTATTCTCACATCAACTCCAGGGGCTGGGTTAATTATAGCACCTATCTTACTGATGAGGAAACTGATTTACAGAAGTTAACGTGTGGAAGGTTACACAGCAAGCAAGGGGCAAAGTCAGGATCTGTACCCTGGCAATCTGAATCCAAAGCTGACCTAAAACGGAACCACTACGGTTTGCTATCTTCTGAGGCTTGTGTCATTCTGAGACGTCTTACTTGGAAAATGCACCGGAGGTCGAGGGTCCGCATTCTCCTTCTGTCGTAAAATCACAACATCTCCATCTTTCAAGCCGTAAGAAGCCAGTGATCTGTGGTTGTCGGTGAGAGGTCTTTCAGCATAGACAATCTACAACCAGAAAGATTTAACAGAACAAAGCACTGAGAAGTAACACATAAAACAGACTAGTTTCTCTTTTCATCAGATAATGTCGCTTCCTGCGCAACACCCTCCAACCATTTCCCATCACACCTAGAATAAGCTCTCCATCACCTCTAGACCCAAATAACTTGGCCTCTGGCTCTCTCTCTGACCTGATCTCATACCATGATTGCTGTTTCTCAAATAATGACTTCCCTTTCAAGGCTGTTTCATGTGCTCCCCTCTCTCTCTGAGGAATGTCCTATCCTCAGTAATTTTTAGGTCTCTGATCAAACATTACCTCTTCAGAGACCTTCTCTAATCACCCTCACCTCACATTTTATATAGTGAACAGGGCCTATTAGATAAAAAATGCCCAAATATTTGCTGAATTAAAGGACAAATGAATCTATGGAAGTAGTGGGTGTAATTTTAGATTTAATTTTGAGCAGGGAGGGGAATGCGAATGACTTACTCTGGGTATGCTAACTAATACTATTAAATAATGTGTCCTCTCCCCCACCCTCACCCCCAGTTTTAGTGAGACAGAACTGACATATAAACACTATTAGTTTCAGGTATACAACACAATGGTTTGGTATTTGTATATATTGCAAAATGATGAGCACAAGAAGTCTACTTAACATCCATCACCTCAGTCACAAATTTATTTTTCTTGTGATGAGAACGTTTTACCAGCTTAGTAACTTTCAAATATGTGATACAGTGTTGTTATCTTTAGTCACCACACCAAAGGTTACATCCCAGTGTGTCCCTTTTTAACATCATCTTGCACACTGGCAAGTTGAAAAGGTTCCCAAACCCCACCCTTCCTGCATTCTTCCTTCTTTTTTACCACGCAAAGTTTTATCACTCATGTTTATGAGTGGAAGACATTCAAAAAAGAACAATTAAACACACATGAAAAAAGGAGCAAACACTGAAGAGAGCCTAAGAGCCTGAGAGCATAAACACAGGTGAAACAATGTGGCAAGAAGAAGAATATAAGGGCACACTGTAATTTTACCACGAAGGAACATAAAATGCGCCCTGCATCACTATATACTCCAGAGGGGCATGCGGAATGAACTCAGGCTTTGAAAGGTGTTCTTCCTAACGACTCGCTTTGCACCAGGCCACATCCGGACTGAGGAACTTGAGTTGTGCCCTGGCTCTGACAGGGGCCCCGTCCCTCAGCTGGTCCAGGCTTCACATTTCCCATTTGTCAAGCAAGCAGCTGGGGGCTAGATCACCATCACAGCTGTCCCTTCCAGGTCTCTCTGCTGCACTACCATTTGACAATGTTTCCTCACGTGTCCTCGTAGCTCTCAGAGTTAAGGCTGCCTGACACAGAACCTGAAAAAGACAGGATTCAAACTGGAAAAAAATGAACTTTCATATCTGGTCTGAAATGAGGAACAGAACTAACAGGAAACTGAATTTGGAAGTTCCTTCCAAAAATCAAAAACTTCTGGGGATGAGCAAACAATTATTTGCAGAGTTTGTAGGTCCAATTCTACAAGTTCTATATGACTAGAAAAAGTATTGTTGGTTCTTCCCCTCACCTGCAAAGTTAAAACACGTTACAACAGATTTCAACTGTAACTCTATCAACACACTTACACTCCCTTATGTTATAGTATAAGTATATATCTCACAGTAAAAGTACAACAGAATGTTTGCAATACAACCCGAGAGTCATTTTATAACTTGTGGGACTCCTTGGAAAAACCACCAAAATTTTCAAGTGACAAGTGTCACAGGTTGAGGGTTGCAGATAGAAGGGGCATGCCAAGACCAATGCCATGCAGACAGCTCTCACAAGGTGGCATCAGCCTTGTGAAGCCACCATAATGAAGCACCAGCAGTCCAAGGCCTGCCTATTCCTTCATTTTCCAGGGTCAGAAATTCAACTATCAGTATACTTACAGATACACAATCAGTCGTCATACTCTAACTGTGCTTATAAGGGAACACTTATTTACCTACAACAAGACTTCAACCCCAGGAGAATCAGAATGCCCCATCCACAAGATCACTGAATTCTCCTCAAGCTGGGAATGCTAAGTGGGAAGCCTTATTAAAATAGCAGACAGCGGGGAGCATTTGAGATCTTGCTCCCAGCATATGTCCCCAGTCGGGCTCAAATAAATTCTTACAAAAATTCAACAACCAAAAAAATAGTAGAACGCTACCACTGAGTGAGCTTCTACGAAGAGCCAGCACCATACGAGGGCTCTCGTCTCCCACTTAATCCTCACATCCTCTCATTTGAGGCATTATTTGTCCGATTTTATGGAGAGGAAAACAGACATCGAGTGAGGCTACACAGCGCTAAGAACGCTGGGACTGGCGCCACGCCTGCCTGACTTTCAGGCTCCCTCTTCCCTAGTGCCACATACGACTTTCCCAAACACAAGTCCAGCGTGGCCTGGTGAATGAGCTGGGCGACCTCAACAAGAGCTATAAGCCATCCATCACTACTACAAGCCTATACTCACCAGGGGGATCAAAACACTGTCCACTGCTCAATGTATCCCCTACCCTGAACACGAAGAAAGGAACACGTTCAACCCCTCACGCTTTAGACTCCTATTTCACAGATGCCATGCACCACTGCACAGCTCAGCTAGCAGTCTTTCCTCAGAAGACAATGTAGTTGGTTTTTAAAGGAGGGCAGCTTGATCTAACAATACAAATAGAAGATCCAGGTAATCACTAATGTCAAACTTGTGTATGAAACATGGAGTACTTACTGCTATCTGCCCCAACTTCCTAAAAATACTAGACTGGAGAATGTGGGTGAGGAGCAAACATTCTTCACAATGACAAAGCAGCAGGTGTTTACCATTTTAATCCAAAGACACAAATGAAATAAACAACAGCCTAAATGAAATTATTATTGCCACTAAGAACTGATTTTTTTGTTGTTGTTAAAATAGCCTTAGGAGTATAAGAAAGGGCTGGCCGAGTGGCTCAGTTGGTTAAGAGTTGGCTTAAGAGTGCAAGCTCTGAGCAACAGGGTCACCGGATCAATTCCCACATGGGCCAGTGATGCTGCGCCTGAGCTGAGCTGCCGCTGAGCTGCCAACAGGTGGCAGGATGGCTCAGCTGGTAAGACCACGTGCTCCTAACTAGACTGCCTGTTTGATGGTGGGCTACGCCTGCCCGCAACTAAGACTGAACTACGGCACCTTGAGCTGAGCTGCAGCCCGGATGGCTCAGTGGATAGAGCGTGCACTCTTAAGAAGGCTGCTGGTTCGATTCCCGCATGGGATGGTGGCTACGCCCACCCGCAACTAAGATTAAACACGGCACTTTGAGCTTAGAGGCCACAAGCTGCCAACGGGAAGCCAGATGGCTACTGGCGCTCTCCACAACGAAGATTGAAGGACAACAACTTGGCTGGTTCCCTTGCCCAATTCCCCAACACTGTTGCTCTCCCCCAATTCCTCAAAAAAATCTTAAAAAAAAAAAAAGTCTAAGAAAGACTTTTTTGGGCTGTCGGAAAAGTCATGATGTATTTTTTCTGTTTTTCATTGCAAAAATGCATCATGACTTTTCCAGCAACCCAAAATTTTACAGCTTAAGTCCCAGCATAAATCTGAACAATTTTCCAACTTAATATTAGTATCTATGAGACCAATGGTTTCAAATTTCTACCAGTCAAAACAAAATGAGTTTCAGTAATGGCATTGGTGATGCTTTCCACCATTCATAATACCCAACTCAAAGGTTTGTTACAAAGCTTAAAATTCAAATTTTGACAGTTATAGAAACATACAACAGGAAAATTTAAACAGCTACAGGTCTTAATCTGCAAAAGTGGCACAACTGCTAGGTCTCAATCCAGAGGAGGCCCCTTAGAGATTGAATTCTAATCTTAATCAATATTTAACAATTAATTAATACAACTCCAAGACCTTTAAGCATGATGCCCAATGCTTTCCGGTCTCTGAATGGGCGCCTTCAGTCAACAGAAAACATTATTTCTAGCACTAAGGACCGTAAAATGACCATGAAACCCTTGGACTCATATCTTAATGGCTTCATAATATTATCTACCATTAACCAAAAGCCTGCTGCAAGCCAAGTGATCTACATATTCTATCCCAGGAGTCGGCAAACTTTTGAGATGCAAGAGCTGCCAGGGGTCAACAACGGGCGGCTCACGAGCCACATGCGGCTCTTTGGGTACGTACATGTGGCTCTGAAGTAAAATTGAAAATGAAAATAAAACTATCACAGTTTCATCTATAAAATTTTTAAAAGATATTATTCACATAATAGTGACTATGTAAAGATATATTTATGGCTCTCAAATAATTTTTAAATTGTTGTGAGGGACAGGATTGGCTCTTCCAGGGGTCGGCAAACCTTTAAGACGGAACGTACCCAAAGAGCCGCTGCATGTGGCTCGTGAGCCGAAGTCTGCCAACCCCTACTCTATCCCATGTAATAGTCAGCTTGACTTTTACAGTCCTTCTGGAAGATAATTTGGCAACGGTTACGAAAAGCCTTTCAAAAGACTTGGCAATTCCTAAGAATTTATCCTGAGAAAATGATCAGAAATAAAGACAAAGTCTTAAGTATACAGAGATCCATGGAAATGTTACTCATAACTGCTTCCAATTTTCCCCAATTCAAATACCCAGCAATAGGGAAATTGTTAAATAAACCACAGTACATCTACATGATGGTGTATCATGTGGCCATTAAAATTAGAAATTTGAAGAATTTATAACGTATGGAAAAATGCTGACAATGTGGTGTTGACTAAAGAAATAGAAAATAAGTTCAGATCATCATGTTTAAAAGATACATTAGAACTATATAAAGGGAAAAAAGATTAGGAAAAAAATACATTAAAAATACATCTAGGTTATGAGGAGGTAAGTAACTGTTCTTCTTGACCCTTTTCTTTATATTACAAGTTTTCTATAATGGATACATAGTATTTGTCAGAAAAGAATACATGAAAATCACCTGTGAAAATAAACAGAAAATTTGTTTTCTATGTTTCCTACAATAGAAGATAGCTACAGAAGAAAATTTCAGTTTCCACTGGTTTAAAATAGTCTTACAAACCACAAGCCATGCTGTGTGCAGAGCTGCATTTCCAGGATCATACAGTTACTGCTATTATTGGGTATTTAAATATGTCTTTCATTTGAGAGTTCGTACATATGCTGCACCCATTTTTTTACCACATGCCACCTACAGGGGTAAATTATAACAATGTTTCAAAAGTATAAGGACATTAAAGTGAGGCTAAGTTCTGATAATTGTTTGAAGTTTGCCCCGCCAAGTCTGCATCAAAGCATCAAACAGTCATGACTGGCTTCCAAGCCCACACTTGTATTAGGAGATGGAACACGCCCAGCTTAAATCACATGTACAAGTAGAGATGGTTTCAATTCTAAATTTGTTATCGCATTATAACTACTATAATCAGACCAGAGCTGTTAAAAAGTAACACCTTTTCCAAGTGTATGCTTCTCCACAACTGATGATGTGAAAGACTGAATTCTATAATAAACCAGTGATCCTCGATGCAAGATAACTCTTTAAGGATGTAGAAAGAAAACAGAAAATATTGGAATTTCCATTTTTTTATCCTTCCTTGAATTCTAGTCTGTGCCTGTTTGTAATGTCCATAAGGTATCACTTCATGTATATACTGTACTTGATGTTTAGTTTTTATACACATGTAATATACATGCACATATATATAATACATATTACTTTGTGTCTATATTTTATATACATCACAAAGATGCATGTTCCAAAACATTTTACTCAGAGGAATACATCACTGAAAAAGTTTGGAAACTAGTGGTCTGGACACACAGTGATAGGAAAGAATAGCCAGGAACATTTAAAAAAATATTCCCTTTAGAAATGGAGGTGAAGGATGAGAGTGGAGAAGGTAAATAAGAGGAGTGAGATAGAGAGACCAGGAGAACTATGAAAGGGAGGCAGGGAAGATGAGTAACACAGGAGAACCCTGGGAGGTGAAGGTGGGGTGGACCTCAAGGGAGTGAAGACGAGATATTTGTGGGGAAAAACTATAATGATGTTTACTATTATGATTTTGTGAAAGGAAGTGACTCAAGTGTCTAGGGTGGATCCTGTTCCTGCCTGATCTGTGCCGCAACTGAAAGACAACCGACCACCAGACATCTTAAAATAGATACTGTGTTAGGTTACAATGGAGCCAACAGAACAAACTTGAAAAACAGGAGCTGTTTACAGCTATGTAATACAGGCTTAAGGCTAGTTGGAGCCCAGGTTTCCATATGCTAATTTGACTTGGGATGGACATGAATGCCAAAATGTTGACCTAAGGAATAAGAAATTGGAGTTACCCTAGTTGTTCAAATTGGGTACTCTTACTTAACACTCTGAGCTGCCAAAGGACAGTGCCTGCTTTCATCATACAATTAATTAGTTTTCAGTCTGACATCCTCTTTATTTAAATTTTTTGTGACGGCCATCTCAAAAAGTGAAGGAATAGAGACAATCTCAATCTCTGTCTTTTCACAAGTCCTAATAACAACAAAATCCATTTACGTTTTAATTTTTTATTTCTCCTACCAGTTGGTGATTATAACCAGGATAATACAATAGCCAGAGAGAAGAGAACAATGGAAAAAGCCACCTTCAAAAACTTAAGAGTTGATTTCCCCTCCCTGCTTAAACTCCTTTTCTAGCTCTCCACTTGAGGGATTCATTGCCAGGAACTGTTTCCTGAGTGTTTGTGGGTTAGTTTTTTATAGAAGTTGCAAAAAAAAAAAAATTCCTTTCACCAATTTCTTTGTAGCTTTTGCTAGACTGTGTACTTGAGTGACACTCTGTGTCCTGAAATGCTTTCCTGCTATTCAGCTTTATGCCAAAGTTCTAAAGTTCACACAGTGGAAAGGAATCATACTCACTTCTGAAGAAAAATACTGACCCATTTGTTTACCATAACACAGGGCAGAGCAAGCAGTAGTTGGGCAACAGTTTTTGGAACTATTTCATAACTGCAGTAGGAAATCAAGATTTACATTCTGGGGCCTTGGAAGGACTTCTATAATTTTCTTAATATTTACAGTGTGTCCTCCAAGGTCCGCTTATCACGCCAGGATTTAACTGTTACAGTATGAAGGCTACAGTGTTACGGTCACTTATTCTGTTAGGGGGCAGCCCCAAAGTATTTTGAGAATAAATTACTTTGCTTATTTAAAATGTAAGAGCAGCTTAACTTCTATCCAGCAGGGTAGGAAAAATCACACTGGGAAGATACCAGGCCATTTTAAAGCAAATATCCTCATAAAGCATGGAGCTTTGAACTGACCCAAACTCTGAACTGTGATCTGAGAGAGGGATTTGGGCCTACTACCGGGGAAGACACCAGAGAAACAGTTTGAGTCGCACTGATAACTTTTTTTTTTTCTTTAAATAATTTAACCAGAAACCAATGTGGTGGGGAAAGGGAAAAGAGCATATCCGAAGACCTCAAAACAAGGCAGTGCCAGTCTCAAACTTTTTCCCTCACTCAGAGTGCAAATCTGTACATTTAAAGGTAAAGTATGTTTCCTTAAACTGGAAAACCCTCTCCAAAAAAGCAGATGAACATCTATCTACCAGCGATCCGAACTGGTATTTCTGGTTGGAGAAGCACGATGTATGAACCCTTGCAAACCTAGGGCTTCTTCTCAGGTCCACGAAGACACTCCAAAATGGGGACATTAGGGAAGAAGGGGCCCAAGAGCCAGAAGGTGGGGCGGACCGCCCAACAACAGTCCACGAGCCCCTCCAGCAGCTTCTCCCGTCAGGGTCTCCGCGCTCTCCGCCGGCACCCCACCCCAAGCTCGGCGTGTGTGGGGGCAGCTACCGAGTGCAGCTCCCTCCCGGATGCGGGGGCGAGCTAGGAATGGCCATCCTGCTCCCTCCACTCCCCAATTCTTCCTCAGTAGCAAAGGGAAGGCGTGAGGCCCCGAGACGGGAGGGCGAGCTCCGGAAAGGGGCCCCGCTCGCTGCCCGGCATACCTGGCTCTCGGCTGCGGGGATGCCGGATTCGAGTTCGCACAGCGCGCGGAAGTTGTGCAGCTCGAAGTCGGCGTCGACCTGGAGGGAAAAGGTCACCTCGGAGAGGTCCCTCCGCACACAGTACACGGTGAGCAGCATGGCCCGGGCCCGACCCAGCTCGGCTCGGCTCGGCCCGGCTTCGGCGCGGGGATGCGGCTGGCGGCGGGGCCTGGCTGGGGCTGCAGGCGGACGGCGCCGGCTGCTCGCTCGCCGGCTCGCTCCTTCCCTCCCTCACACACGCGGAGTGACTCACTCCCTCCCTCCCTCCCTCACGAGCGAGCACAGCCGCCGCACCCGCCTGCGATTCCGCCTGCCTGCCTGCCGGCCTGCCTCCCACCCCTGCCGCCAAGCGCGCCAGCCGCCCGGCACCCCGCCCCGCCGCAACGCGGCTGCCGTAAAGCCCGCCTTAACCGCCCTGCTTTCGCGACGCAGCTGAGGGGCGGGGCCGCGGAGGGAGGCGGGAAGCCAGAAGAGTTTCGGAGAGGTGGGTGCGGGAGGGGAGGAGGAGGGAGGGCGAGAGACGGGGAGCAAGGAGAGGAATGGAGAGGAAGATGCATTAATTGATGTACTAGTCTGTGTGTGTGTGTGTGTGGGGGGGGGTCCACAATCTCACTTATTCACCCAGAAGGCATTTATTAAGCGCCACCATGTGGATACAGAGATGCATAAATATACCAGTCTTTGCCCTTAAGAAACTGAAGCTAGTACAGCCGACTGAGAACTAAGCGCGTAGTTCTAAAACATATTTTCCGAAGTAGAGACAGGCACAGAGAGATTCACTTCCTGACCCGATGATTTAGAGCGAAAACCAAATTCATTACCCTGCCTGGTCTATAGGAGCCCAGTTCACTCGGCGGTCTTCCCCCTCCAGCCCTGCCTCCGAGCCCTTCCTACGTGCTCTGCCCTCCCAGCCACGTTGTGACTTTCAGTTCCTCCAAACGCTCCGTTGCCCTGCCTTGTAAATTGTTTTCTCTCTACTTGGGCTCTTTCCTAGCCCCGGCACCTAGTGCAGTGCCTTTATTGGGCTTAGAATTCACTGGATAAAATATTTGCTACTCTAATGGCCTATGTAAGGCCACATAGCTGATGAGTGCTAGATAGAGGCCCAGAACATGAGGATGAGTCAGAAAGCCAAAACAAAGAGGAAGATAAAATGGATGCAAAACTGGTATCTCTCCATATACCACCCTCCCTCCTCCATCCACAGACTAGAGACCCATCTCCTATTATAGTGGAAGGGAAGGAGGAAACAAGATGGCTATGGAAGCAGGTAAGCAGGGAGGCTTGGTGGCAAGAAAGTGAGAGAGTGACCAGCTGAAGACTTTTCTCTGTAAAGGAGGAGGGAAGGCCATCTGAAGAGACTAGAGAGAGAAGAAGGTGGAGGAGCGGGGTGAGGGGGGTGGGGGGGTGGTGGAGAAGTGTGGTTGTATCAGCGAAAGAATGCCTGACTCACAGTGGCTGAAGTAAGGGTTCATTTTTCTCCCAGGATAGGAAGCCCCGAGGTAGACAGCTGCATTGGTTCAGTGACTCAACCATGTCAGAGCCAATATTTCTGCAAATCTTTTGGCCTTTCCCTGAGGGTCACAGTATGGCTGACTGCCTCTACTCCATACATCATTTTCTTGTTTAGGGCAAGAGCTTGCCCAGAAGTTCCCCAGTACATTTCTGCTTACATCTCATTGGCCAGAACTGTCACAGAGATGCAAGAAAGGCTAGGAAAATGAGTGTTTAGCTTTTTTCACCCTCTTTAAAGGACATGAACGGGGGGAAAAGGAGGTTGGGAATGGGTGTTAGGTGAGACATGCATAGTTCCTACTAAGGCAGAGAAGTTTTGAAATAACCATTGCCAAATTGAAGCAAGTTCAATAGAAAAATGATGTAGGATTGCCAGGTGGTATCAGGGATTCAGTTGAAATTGGCATGAGTTGATTAATTTTTCTGTGTTACATTTTCTTCCTAGGTAGTGCTCAGGTACCCAGGTGTAACACGTTTTATTTTCCAAAGATGGCGATGACAGTATCTCCCATCTTATATTTTCTTCTTACGATGTGATCATGATATTCCTCCCATTAAGAGATGGGGTGTATGTCCCTCCATTTGAATCATGGCAGACTGATCTGGCATGTCATTGTGTGTCTTCTGAGGCTAGGTCCTAAAAGGCAATATAACCTCTGCCTGGTTCTCTAGGAACATTTGCTTTTGGAACTCAGCAGCCATGCTGTGAGGAAGCCCAAACTACCCTAAGTAGTAGTGAGACCACATGGAGAGAACATGTATAGCTATTCCAGACCACAGCCCAGCTGAAACCAAAGCCAGTTACCAGGAAAACCCACCAAACACGTGAATGAAGAGAATTCCAGTTGATTTCGACCCCAGCTGTTGCGTCATCTCCAGCCTTTGAGGCTTTCCAGCTGAGGCCCCAGACCTCATGGAGCTGTCTCCTCTGTACTCTTTTTGAATTCCTGACCCACAGAATCTATGAGCACAATAAAATGATTATTTTACATGACTAAGTTGGGGGTGGTTTTTTACAAAGCAACAATAACTGGTACAGTGAATAAGTTTCTTAAAAAAACAGAACTTTTTATTGCAGTATAATATACAAAAAGTGCATCTATTGTAAGCGTATAGTGAGTTTTCACAAACTAAACACACCTGTGTGACCAGCACCCAGTTCATGAAACAGAGCTTGACAAGTACCTCAGAAGCCTCCTTGATACTCCCTTTCAATCACTAACTCTCCCTCCCCCGCCCCTTGCAAATAGAACCACTATTCGGATTTTTAACAGCATAGATTAGTTTTGCTTGTTTTTCTATGTAAACAGACTCAGGCAGCATGTAGCCTTGTGTCTGCCTGCTTTCACTCAATATTAAGGAGGTTTTGTCCATATCATTGCATGTAATTGTAGCTTGTACCTTCTTATTGTTTTATATTTTGTTTTATGAATATACCACAATTCCTCCATTCTGTGCTTGATGGGCATTTGAGTAGATACGTTTTTCCTTGAACCATTTTGAATTATGGTTTCCAAAATTTGTAACCCAGAGAGTCCTTACTGATATAAACCCACACCTGCTAACCCAGGGTACACACACCACTGAGTTCTGAGCTCCCCGACTTGCATACACTCCATTAAGTATTAGAAGAAAGTTTATGTTATTCACACACTCATTCAACATATATTGTAGGCACCTACTATGGGCAAGATATCATTTTAGACAGAGGGACTTGAAGCCTAACCAGACAGATAAGGCCCCTGCCTCATGGAGTGCATATTCTAGTAGAAGTGACAGACAATAACACAAACATACATAAACAAAATAAGTACAGGATTTGGTAACTACTTTAGACGGAATACATAGAGCAGCAGTTCTCAACCTTCCTAATGCCGCGACCCCTTAATACATACAGTTCCTCATGGTGTGGTGACCCTCAACCATAAAATTATTTCGTTGCTACTCTATAACTGTAATTTTGCTACTGTTATGAATCGTAATGTAAATATCTTTTTGTTTTCTGATGGTTTTAGGTGACCCCTGTGAAAGGGTCGTTCGACCCCCAAAGGGGTCACGACCCACAGGTTGAGAACCGCTGAATAGAGTGATGTCAGAGAGAGCAACTGAAGGATGGGAGTGGAGGAACATACCTTAGGTAGGATGTTTCAGTGAAGACTTACTTCTCTGAGGAGGTGATATTTGAGCTGAGACCTGAGGAATTAGAAAGCACCCATCTGAAGCACCTAGAGGATGAGTTTTCAGGCAAAATAGGAAATACAAAGGCCCGCAGGTGAGAAGAGCTTGGCATCTTGTTAGAAGAAAGGAGGCTAGTGGGGCTGGAGTGAGCGGGAGAGAGGAAAAAGTGGTAAATGAGATCATGCAGTGGCTTCCTTGTAGGCCAGGATGAGGCATTTGACTCATCACAAGTGCAAAGGGAAGCCGTTATGATGATTTTAAGTAGGAAAATTATATCATCAGATTTATGTTTTTAAAAGTTCATGCTGTCCAGAAATAAGCCCTCACATTTATAGTCAATTAATTTTCAGCAAGGGTGCTAAGACAATGTAATGGGGGAATAATAGTCCCTTCAACAAATGGTGTTGGGAAAACTGGGTCTCCACATGCAAAAGAATGAATTTGGACCCTACCTCACACCATATATGGAACTAACTCAAAATGGATCATAGACTTAAGTGTAAGAGCCAGAACTATAAAACTCTTAGATGAAAATGCAGAAGTAAATCTTTGTAACCTTAGATTAGGCAAAGCCTTCTTAGATAAGACTCTAAAAGTACATGAAAAAAATTTTTAAAATAGATGTTTTGGACTTTATCAACACTAGAAACTTCTGTGGCCCGAAGGACACCATCAAGAAAATGAAAAGAAAACCCACAGAATAGGAGATAATATTTACAAATCATACATCTGATAAGGGACTTGTATCTAAAATATATAAAAAAACTCTTACAGCTCAATAATAAAAAGACAAGTAACCCAATTTTTTAAATGGGCAAAGGATTCTAAAAGACATTTCTCTTATGAGAGAATTTCTTCTTTCTTCTAAAGAAGTTATACAAATGGCCAACATGAAAGGATGCCCAACATCATTAGCCATGAGAGAAATGCAAATCAAAACCACGATGAGCTATGATTTTACAATCACTAGGTTGACTATAATAAAAAAGACATAAATAGCCAGAGGTGGTGAGGATGTGGGGAAACTGGAATCCTCATACACTCCTGTTGGGGATTTAAAATGGTGCAGTCACTTTGGAAGACAGTTTGGCAGTTCCTCAAATAGTTAGGCATATAATCATCATATGATCTAGAAACCCCACACATAAGCATACATCCAAGACAAATGAAAATATGCATCCACACAAAGCATGTATCAAATGTTCAGAGCAGCATTATTCACAATAACCAGTCAGAGGAAACAACCAAGCATCCCTCACCTGATGAATTAATAAATAAATGTGGTATTATCCATACAATAGAAAATTATTTGGCAATAAAAAAGAAGTATTGGTACATGCTGCAACATAGATGAAGCTTGAAAACATTATGTTAAGTGAAGGAAACCAGTCACGAAAGACACATATTATATGAGTCCAATTATTTGAAGTATCCAGAAAAGGCAAATCCATTGGGACAGAAAATATATTAGTAGTTGCTTCAGGCTGGTGGGGGATTAAGGAATGGGGGTATATGAGGAGCTACTGCTAATGAGTAGTTTCTTTTTGGGGTGGTGAAAATATCCTAAAATTGATTGTGGTAATGGTTTTACAACCATGTGAATATACTAAAAACCACTGAGTTAAACATTTTAAATGGGCGATTTGTATATGTGATTTATATCTCAATAAAGCTAGTAAATTTTTTTAAAGTTCACACTGGCTGCTAAATGGAGAATGCGTTTTACTGGGGGCAAAAAGAGTAATGGGGAAATGTTTAGGGGGCTGCAACAGGAATCTTTTTAAAAAAAATTTTATTGGGGAACAGCCATGGTCATTGGTTACACATTGCTTTCATGCTACAATGGCATAGTTAACTCTTTTAAGGAGGGCGCAGCTCACAGTGGCTCATGCAGGGATCAAACCGGCAACCTTGGTGTTATTAGCACCACGCTCTAACCAACTGAGCTAACTGGCCACCCCTGCAACAGGAGTCTTGATGAGAGAAATGGTGGACTAGAGAGGCAGCAGTTGAGACTGAGAGAAGCAGGTGGATTAGAGAGAGATCCGGAAGAGTCAACAGGACTTGCTAATGGACTGGACTTGCAGGAGGAATGACTCATGAGTTAAGAGAAAGGAAACTCAAGAAACAAAATACTCAATATATCCTACTAACCAAGATGCATTCTGTCTCTCTGTTGCATCAGGATTCAGACCCCGAGTTCTAGGAACGGCAGGATCTTCTACTACACGCTCCTACCTGGATCCACCAAGCTGTGAGGCAGGGCCCTCTGCCAACAGCTCTGCTCACTGGTCTAATCTCCCTGAACTCCTCATTCCCTACCCTCCTGCCTCTCTTGAGAGAACCACTTCTAGAGAAGAAGGTTCCCACAGCTTGTCATCAGTGATCTCCTTCACCCTCGGGCCTCACACCTTTTGGACTCTGCTCAGTTGCCTCTGGGGATCTGGCTCACAGCCGGGACTCCCACTTCTCTCTCATCACTCCGTGAGACAGACTTTGCACCTCTCTGACTTGCAACCATAAATGGCTTGAGACATTTCCAGTACTTAATCCTAAATCGGAATGGGCGGGGTGGACCTTGAGAGAAGGCCTAGGCAAGCAGGGTTACCAGGCAGAAGGGGGTCCCATGTGTTGTCAAAAATCTTGCCCAAGATTGCTAACGTTTACGGGGTGCTCACTTTGTGCCAGATACTCTTCTAAGCATTTTGTGTGTAGAATCATTTAATCCTCACAAGAATCCCGAGGTATTATCTCCATTTTACAGATGAAGAAACTGAGGCATAGAAAGGGGTCAGTCACTTGACCAAAGACACAAGTAATAAATGGCAGCTCCAGGATTCAAACCCGGCAATCTGACTCGAGCCCACAGTCTTTTTTTTTAGATTTTTTTTATTGGGGAATTGGGGGGATGGGAACAGTGCTGGGGAATTGGGGAAAGGGGAACAAACAAGTTGCTGTCCTTTTGTTCTTCAGTCTAGTTGTGGAAGACGTTGCTTCACTGGCCCAAGTTGGCACCGTCATTGCGCTCTTCCCGAGTGAGGCAGATCAGTCGCCGGCTTCTGGACGGCCGCTCACTGCGGTTGCTGGCCGCTCACGCTGGCTGCTGGCTACACACGGTAGCCCATGGCAATCCACTGCCACAGGGACTGCAGCCTACGCCGTCGCCAGGGACTCACGGCAGCCCAGCTCCAGGTTGATTGTTAAGCATCTTAGCTGTAGAGGGCAGTGTCAACTGGCCCTCATATGTGGGATCCGAACCGGGGCCCTCTGGTGTCCCAAGCCAGTTCTTAACCATCGCGCCACTCGGCCGGCCCTCGAGCCCACAGTCTTAACCACTATTTTCCACTGCTACATGTCCGACCTCCTTTCATCCTACTAAAAGACCTCAGAGATGGGAACTCTTAGTTCATTACCATTTCATGGATAAGGAAACTGAAGTGTGGGGATTTTAATCAATTTGCCCAAGTTCATACAGCTAGTGAGTGGCAGATTCGCTAAGCTGGAAGAAACATTAAGGGTGAAAACATCTACTTCCAACCTTTAACTAGAGCACAAATGCCCTGCCTACATATTATGTGTGGAGACACCTTGCTGGGCTCCAAAACCTTGGGTTTCATCACCATATGGTCACCACTAGCAAAGCTTCTGTCTCCCTCCAGGTTATTGCCTAATTCTGTCCTACCAGAAAAAAACAAATCAGTAAAGACATCTACCCTGGTTGGTCATAGAGAATCCTACAATAAGAATTTAATCCCTCAAACACTGAAGGTGTTTGTTGGATA